TTTATCTAGCTGATCATAAAAATCACAACCAAACAAAAGAGCTTTCGTTTACATAGAGTGGAAATGTTAATTGCATTAGAAAGAGACAGCTGCAAAAGCTACAGCTGCGCCTTGAACTTGAATTTGAACAGGCAGAGCAGCAGCAGCAGCAAATGCGACTGCGAGATGGCCTTCAAATGAAGTTCGGTACAGTGAACAAATTGAAAATGAAATGCGCATAACAAACGCAAGCATGCAAAAGCTGCCAGCCAGAGTGTGAGAGCGATTGCAAGAGCGAGAGAAGCGCTGAGTGTGAGAGTCAGAGCGAGCAGAGTGTGCAATGCAGGCGCGTACAGCCAACGGCTGCGTCAAAAAGTGACGACGCCGCTGCAACTGTCCTTGAACTTGGCAAACATTCTTTTTTTTTTATTTTTTTGTTGTCGCTGCTGCTGTTGCCGTTTGGTCAAACGAAGGACAGCAGCAGCACTCACACATACAGACCGACGAGTGCAATCGCTACTGCGTCCACCATTTGCATTATTAATGTGCAGCAGCAGCAGCGTCGACGTCAGCAGCGACGTCATTGCTAATATGGCTTCAATTCTCTGCCCATAGGCTTTGTTCTGCTATCGATAAGTTCTGCATGCCTGCGTGTGTGTACGTGTTTATGTTAAGTGAAAATGGCTGACTTGAAGCAAATTTAATTTAAGGAATAAATAATTACATGCATATGCATAAGCTTTTAAAAGTAAATAAAATTGCTTGGTAAAATTCCAATTCATCTAAAAATTACCCGAAACTTAGAGATTGTGAAATAAGTAAATTTCAGAAAATCCCCAAGAGATTACAAGTGAATTTCAAAATGATAAGCTTAAAAAAGTACACTATTTTCAGAATTTCAATGGGTTTCATACCTAATATGTGCACACAAATATACACACACACACCCATGCAGAATTCTTGATTTCTTGGAGCGGAAGTGTTAAGAGTTCCGAGAAAGCGTCCACCGTTACTAAGCGACAAAACGAAGAAATCAACGATTTCTCAACACCGCAAATAAAAAAAAAATAACAAAAACCAAAAACCTGACCACAGAGCACAAAAACAGTGTGAATCAAACGAAAAAAACCAATAGAATGACGGGACAACAGCTCACTTCATTTAGTCAGAATTGGCAATTAGAACAAAGAAATACACAAAAATATACATATACACATATACTGTACGTAGCTGAAACCGATATTAGTAAGTATAAGCATATATGTATGTATATGTATAAACAAATACATGCGCAAATTTGTTAACCAAGGTCAACAATTTTTTTGTTGATTTTGTTCGGCTATATAAAAAATTATTTCACAAAAATAAATAGGCATTGGGCCTGGGTAGCTTTTATATAAATATATATATATATATATATGTATGTTTATCATGCATGTGTATGTAGACATGCAAAGAACTTTAAAGAATGCTAACAACAAACAACAATCTAACGGGCAAGTTACCAAGAACAACAACAACAACAACAATACAACATGGCGGATCGAGGCAGTTGAGCAGTTGATACAAAATTTGCGGGTGGCAAGGGATGAGCTACATGCACAAATACATACTACTTGAATACGGATAGATATATACACACACACACACACACACACATATATATATATATATATATATATATATATATATTTATATTTATGTATATCTATATATACATATGTGTGTGTATACACAAAGCTTCTTTACGCATGTCTGCGAACCGGCTTTTTTGCGTTAGACCAAATCGGAGGCAAGAAATCTGTATCTGTGTGTATCCGTTTGATTTCGCACGTTTGTATGTGTTGCAATACAAAACTTAATGGGGTAGGCAAAGGGTCGGCAGACAAATCGAAAAAATCAACAAATCATTTTGCTTAGGCTCACGAGTTTGCCGTGTGACCAACAAATTAACGATAAGCAAGCAATTATTTCAACGACTCTATGCACTTTTAAGCAAGTAAAATATAAAAAATTTCAAATAAATATGTATGCTGATAAGCAAGTGAACGGCAATAATATCTGAGCTATTTATGGTATATTGTTTTAATGTTATGCTTTCTTTGCTTTGCTTGGCAAATGCAAACAGTTTATTTATGGTGCGGGCACTTGATAAGTTCTTAAGCGATTAATTTTTGCACTCTGTGCTCAAGGAATTCTCCAAAATGATAAGTGAGAGTGTAGAGTGAAGTTCAAAGGTATCTCGATTTATAGGGCCACATAAAAATATACACAAAACTTTATGACAATATAACGATAAATTGTGATCATAAAGTTTGAAATGTACACGATTTGGGAATCAAAATTAATTATGGTATAAGGAAAATAATTTGTAGACAATAGAATTGAATATATTTTAGTTAAGCCTATCAAAGAGGGAAGTTAATTTGCATAAGTCTCCACATTAAAGTCGAAATTCTTCTTTAAAGCTGTCATCACTTCAGTCTGCATTTATCTGTCGATAACCGATTGTAATCACCCACATAATATAATAATCACTAGGGCCACTAAAAAAGTGATCTTTCAGCACGGCCCATTCATAAAAATCAGTCAGCGGACAAAAACCGCATAAGACACATTCAAATGCCGCATCGATAAGAAAAAATCAGAAAGAGCTGACGTGCCAACAGATAACAAGTAAAAAAAGTACAGGTGGAACGTGAATGAACGCAACTAGCCCAGAGAACCCGAACCACAACCGAACCCGCAACCGAACCCGATACCCGATTACCTCAACATGCGGTACAACCTACGTAAATCAATTATCGATTGCTAGCCGATAACTAGCGATAACTGCTTGCGGGTTTCGTACACTCAGAAAAAGATCGACATAAAATATATAGCAATTTTCTTATTTTTAGAAATAATTTCGGAATAATAAGAAATATTTTCTATTATTAAATAAAATATTTCACAAAACTAAAGTACTTTTTAGAAAAAATTCTTACTGAAAAATATACATATTTTTTCAATATTCTAGAAAAATCCTCCACTCTGAAATGTAGAATTGGAATCCCAAGTTTTTTAAAGCATCACAAATTCTGAATAATTGTCGCACAATGTGTGGCTATTTACTAAAATTGAGGACCAAATTTTTGATGAGTGTAATGACTCTAACTGCCTTTGATTTTCTAACTTTCGGCTCGATACAATTTCCTGTGCACATACCGCAATATCAATTTCCAAGATTACCGCCAACAAGCGCTACGAATTTTTGGCATTTCATGCTGCTGCTCACATTTTGTTATTGTGTTTGGCTCGTTGACGCTGGTACTGACCTTCAGGCACAAAATTAGCAAATAGATAAAATACGAAAATACTTCACCAAAAACAAAAAGCAAACACCAAATACAAAAAGCATTTTTTGCGTGCACGGGACTCTTTTATCGCAAAGAAATTGCGCAAGTCTAAAGTCATATCAATAAATGTTATAAGATCTTTTCAACAAAAGCGTAGAATAAAAAAAGAAGTAAATCAACATTGATGATAAATATCAGTTAAAAGTTAAAATACCTAAAATCTTAATATATAAGTGTCAGTATATATATAGTCAAAATAAGAAGGAAATATCAAAAATTGTATTGAAATATTTTTAAAATATTTATTTTTTTCCTTAAATTTTAAAATTATATATTATATTCTTTTTATTTTAGAATATTAAACAATTAAAAATAACATGTAATCAAAACTCAATATGCTTCTTAATGTGCAGACTTAAATTTATTCTTGATATGTAGAAAAGTCTGAAATCGACAATATATCAGCTAAAGCTGCGATCAATCAATATCAGATCACTTTTCCAAGTTCTAATTAGTAATATCTGACAGTTTATGTTAACAAACCGATAATATTAAATGTTAGAAATTACATTTAACACTATCAACATTGCGTGTCAGCTTAAGCCCTGACCAGCCACATTCATAATATATCGAAGCATTATCATTATCATTATCGTAGTCAAATCGGTTGAGTGCTAATTAGTTGGCGATCCTTTCATACTTGAACTTAGGCGTGTGGCGTCGTGACTCACTCGACTCAAGTGAATGAGTCAGGCATACTTAGGAAACCCCTTTGATATGGCCACAATTGATCACAATCGAATTTGATTTGAAATTGGCTAGACTCACAAATTTTTATTAGACCAATGTGGATGAGTCAAGTGGTTCGTTTAACGGTCAGAGGTTTGAGTCATCAGGAATCTATATAGTTGAGATAGGCTATTTCTCAGTCCTAGGTGAATGATAGGTGAAATATATATAAATTGTGTGTGGGTGGTATTTTGATAAAGGAATATGTGTGCAAGTGCCAAAATAGAGAAATTCATCATTTGTTTTTTGTGACAGTTTTGCTAGTCATGGGGCGTATGTGTGATGATTGCGTGAAGTAATTACTGATGTGTTCTCTCTAAATAGTATAGCAGTATGTTCTTAGTTCCTTTTTGTGAAGCGTCATCTGCTTGATTCCAAGAACCTGTCTAAGATTGTGAAATCTATTGCAACTAGAAAGCTCTACATGAAGTATACGCCAAGTGCTCAATCTCAAACTTGCTTAATATTTTAAAACATTTATTTTTGTATTAACAATAAATTTGAAAAAAAAACTGTTAAATCTTAATATATATATTTATTCATATTTATTTATTATAAACAATTTTTTTTGCTTATTGCTAATTTCAAAATTATATTTTAACATACTTTTTTCTCTTTTTTTTTACCAATTTCAAGACTAAAAATATTAAAAAAATTAATATCAAAATTAAAATAATTAAATTGTATATTATATTTTTTTTTTCTCATAATTCAATTCAATGATATTTCGGTTTGAAAATCAAGCTTTTATCATTTACGTTGAATCATTGACAAATTGAGCAATTAAAAATAACAACTAATCAAAATTTAATATACTTAAATATTATATATTACTTAAATTGCTAAAAATAATTTGTCATTATGTACTATGTATTTATGTATTTCAAAACTCACCATAAAATTACGAAAATCCAAAACAATAAGTGTTGAAATATTCCTTAGGGCTTCCTTAATAATTCCAAAATGCAAGTCCAAATGTTATGGTTTTGAGATTGTATTTGTCTAATAACTGTGTATCTTGTTTGTCAGATGGAACTGTTATTTTTATTTATATTTATATTTTTTATTTTTTGTGAAAAACACTTGTTGTCACGCGAACCGACGAGTGGCAAGTGTTTTGTAGAACTTTTTCACTGTTGCGCAGTCGAAGCGCGGCGAGGCATTCAAGAATAAAAAAAACGTCGGCGGTAATCGTAAATATTAAATGTCGCCGCCTCTCCGAGAGTCTCTGCACTTGTCGCTCGTTTGCTCGCTCGCTTGGCTAATTACCAAATGCGATTCAAGTGTCCGTTAGAATCAGAACCAATATGCGCGAGGCGTCAGCGTCGACGATCGACTAACCGAACTTGGCGATCGACTCGCTCTGATATTGAAAATTGTATAAGAATTCACTGACTGTTCTGTGTGTGTGAGCGAGAGACAGATTAAGATGGAGACGAAGGTGAAGACCGAGACGAAAGCTAGCGAGCAGTATACGACTTGTGTGTTTTATAATTGCGAGCCGAGTTTGCGTATATGGTATATGCGTTTGTGTGTGTGTGGGTGTGTGACGCTGCGACGTTCGTTCTGTTGCTGCTGACGTCTCTAATGCCGGCAGAGCTTTATTCAAGTTTAATTTGAGCTCGTTTGTTGTTGTTGCTGCGAATTTGTGTATCAAACGTATGTATTTGTGTGTGTGTGTGTTATTTATTATCTTTGCTGCTTTTGATTATGGCTGTGTGTGCGTAGCTGCGCAGCACTACGACGATTGCTGTTGTTGTTGTTGTTGTTACTGCTGCTTCTGCTGGTGCTATTAACGCTTTGTTGTTGCTCACATTCACACGCCACTATAAACAATATTGACCTAGGTTATATACTATATACAGATATATATATATACACATGTACCTTTGTATTTCAGATATATATTTTTTTCTTTCTACTTTTTGCCTATCGCATAATTTTATAGCTTTTTTTTCTAGGTTATATTTTAGCGATATATTCTTAGCATTTTAAAATTGATTTCATTTTGTATATATTTTTAAATTTATGTATATTATATTTTTATCAGTCTTTTATAACAGTTAAGCGAAAACACAAATTAATTTAAAAATTGCACTTTTGTATAGTTTAAACAGTTAAAACACATTTGCTAGTTGCATTTTTTTTTAGCTTAAGCGTTGATTTTTTAAGGCAAAGGAGATCAAATAACGTTTATAATTTTCTTTTTTCGTTTTAGAATTTTCAACAGCAGCTTTTGCTTAAGTTTGTTGATGTTGTTTTTTTCTTTTTGCACGGTTAAAAGCTTTCTAATACTATTGAAAGTTCTTTCAAGAACAGAAACAGATACGCTGCCGTTTGCCGTGTGTTGACGCGTCGCCAGCTCGCTGAGAAATACGAAATGGCGGCCAGCGTTCATAAAATTTTTGCCGAGAACAATATGCTGGCAGCGCTGAGAACTGAGCAGCCGCGTAGCAGTTGCTGCGCAGCTCGCGTCGCAGTATTGAATAGCAGCAGCTGCGGCAGCGACGACAACTGAAGAATGAAAGCGCTGCGTGTGCAAGCTTAAATATCTATATAAACGTGTGTGTGTGTATCTGTGTGTATGCATGTATGTATGTATGTAAGTGTCTTATGTGAGCCGGCATTTGAGACGGCAGCAGCAGCTGCTGCTGCTGCGCCTAACGCATACATACACACAAAGCAACGTAAAAGCTGAGTCAAATTTTTTTCCTTTTTTTGCGACCGCAATGAATATGTTGTTGTTATTTTCGGCAATTGTTTCGGCTTTGCTGCGTTGGCGGCGACGTCAACAGCGACAGCAGCAGCGGCAGCAGCTACAAGCGCGCTCAACTTACTCAATAAAAATTTTATTACGCACACGAATATAATTTGTTTGGCGGTGTTGGCCGTTCAATTTGCATTCTTATTATTATTGTTGTTGCTGTTGTTGTTGTTGTTTTTGTCTATGTTTTGGTTCTTATCACAGTTGTTGTTATTATTGTTGTTATTATTGTTCTTTCTTGTATTTGATCAGTTGTTTTGTCGCATTTCTGTTTTCGCACTTTATTTTGGTGACGTATTTAATTGTTTATACATGAATACACATATATAAATATGTGTGTGTATGTGTATGTATGTGTACGATCTGAATTTGTGATTGGTTAGCATTATGGGGAACATGTTATCAGCATCCAGATATCTAAAGATTAAAGATCACATGATACAGACTGCAAGTCGCAGTAATTGACATAGGCAATGAAATTGATATCTAACGGCGATTAAAAGCTTTGATTATTAAAAGCAATGTATAATATTATTCTTACAAATTGACGCTTTATCTTATGAATCTTATAAATATTTATTACTTTTTTTAAATTTTATTATTGTCTCGACTGTCTATTGTTGACATTATTATTAACAACTTTAATCAATCCCACTAAAAAGTTATTATTAATTGCACAGAATAAAGCAAATTAATAATTAAAATATCCATTCTAAAAGGCTCTTATGGATTATATAAACATATTTTTCAGTTTTTGCAGATATGTATGTAAAAAGGATGGCAGCGCTGCGCGATAATGTTCAGGAATCGCATAGAGTTGCCAGACTGCGCTCAACAGTTGAGTGGAATTAGAGAAATTGTTCAACAGAGGCAATCATTTCTAATCAGTCATCAGTTCTCTCATTCGTACAGATGACTTTTATACTCTTATAATAATAATAATAATAACTTTTTTTTTTCAAAATCAATATATATTTTAGAAGATAAACAATATGTACAGTTAGAAGGAGAGTACAAAGAATGGATATTTTTCGTTTCTAAAAGTTTCAAAATTGTTTAAGTTTAAATTAATCTTGAAAAAATGATTTCTTTTTCTAGTTAGAAAACTTAGATCCATGTTTTCGCTCAATTCCTCTTTTTCGCCCTATATGGAATACTCTGGAATACGAAATGTTAAATTTCGACAATGTCTTTGGCAAGTCAATGCCCCAAAACTTTATAGCCTGCTGTTGTCTGCTGTTTTGCACGTCGACAGCTCCACATCTCTGCCCCTTTCCCTCGCCACCACTCCGTCTCGCTTGCCACAACGTGTGACAATCGGTGCGTCTGTTTGTCTCCTACTAAAGTGCAGTCATTATTTGGTCGGCATTATTATTATTATTTTGGGGAGAGTATTGACCCCACAGATTTCTTTTGTCGGGCAGCATTTATAGTCAGCAGCGGCCAAAAATTGGAATTATTGTGCATAAATAAGAAGTTCTCCAAAAAATACGTTGAAAATTTCTGAAATTGCAATAAACTGCAGAAGAAAGCAACCGAACAAGAAGAAGCAGCAGCAGCAGAGGAAGCAGCTGCAGCAGCAGAGACCGAGTACGCAAAAGCAGCGCTGCAGCTGACGTCAAGCATTTCCTCTGCCTGCGCTGCAGTCGACGCAGCTGTCTCTGCTGCGGGGGGGTGTTTGGTTTTGCGAACCGAACGGTGCAATAAATTCAAGCTTCATCCCTTTTTGGCAACGACCAACACCAACAGAAACAGCAGCGAGCCAAAAAAAAAAAAAACAAAAAAAAACAACAACGAAGAAGCAGAAGAAAAACAGCAACAAAAACCAAATAAAACCCAAACCCAAAATGTCTGCAACGTTGTCGCATGCAAAGGGGCAACGGCAGCAGCAGGCAGCAGCCGCAGCCGCAGCAGCAGCAGTTAAATTTGCTCGTGTGGCGGCCGTGCAATGGTTTTCGACAGCTGACATCGGAGGCAGTGCCACAGTTTTCAACATGTGCTGCACATGCAGAGGACTTGCAGCCAACGGATACTCAAGAGTATGTTGCACGTCTCTCTCGCTCTTTCTGCACACATGCATATATATATGTGTGTGTGTGTATGTGTGTGTGTGTGTGTTGCAGCTGTGTGAGTCTGTGTCTGGGCGCTTGCCAGCAGGTTGAATCACTTGCCAAAGAATGGGCAAAGTCCAGCAAAAAATTATACAGCTTTAGTTGTCTATATAAAAATAAAAACAGTTTTCAACTGGTTTTAATATTTTTTTTTATTTTTCGACAAATCATCAAAATATTTTTACATTATTTGCAGCAGAAGCTAATTTGCAAGCTAAAATTCATTAAAAGTTGATTGCATTGGAAAATACAATTTATTTGAACAGCATTTTAACATGAATTTTAAATTAATATTATGCTTAAATTCAGTTATATTCTTACTTTATTTATTTATTTTTTTTATTATAATATAATCACCGAATACAATAAAAACATTAAATTACTTATTAACTTTGTATTTTTGTTGAGAAAATTATATGCAGGGAAAAGAAATTTATTAATTTTATTATTAATTTTAATATTATTAAACTTATTATATTTATTTTTATAAATCATGTAATTATTATTATATTATGTTATATTTTATTTCTTAATACCTATTTTTACTATCTGTTTAATAAATCTATTTAGAAATCGTTTTTGGTCGGACGGAATGGATCTTAAATAGAGAAAAAGATTTGTCTTATTTGTTATACTTTTTTAAATATGCCCAATTTAGACTTTATTCTAATTTAAGAATATTTAATTATTAAAATGAATTATTTAATTAATCTAAATGTGTGCATTTTAATTGCTTTGCATCCGATTCTTGTGAGTTCTGAAAATGATTATATTTTGTATCATATCAAAATTTATACTTAACATTTATTCTTAGTTTTTCTTTCTTAGTTTTTTTTATTTCTTTCTTATTTTACTGTTAATAGTCGAAATTAATTTCAATATATCCTGCTTTAAAATAAATACTATACTGAATTTAAACAAGAGTTTATTTTTCTGTCTATTTTATATCTTAATATATAGGTGACTTCCCCGATGAGTAAAATAGATTTACTAAACTAAATTAATTAAGATAATGATGTCTATATTTATTTTATTGATACTTCGTGGACTTCACACAACATTAATGATAGTGCGGCAGTTCCCAGAAAAAGAGGAAAGAACAAAAAAAAAACAGTTGTTAATGGTGAGTGTCAATACTGATTGCATCATCATGAATCATTAGGCATTGACGTTGTGGTCTCCTCCTGCGCTTCAATTAGATGCAACAGTTACGTGTGCTAATCATTTCGATACTTATAATACCGAAAATCAAATAAGAATACTCCAGTCGAGAGAGCTCGACAAAGAGATACCCTGAACACAGACTTAAACACGGGTCCCAGTTTAATTGTCGAATTTATCTCGTTTATAGCTTTGCACACTCAAACGTAAGCAGTTACTTAAAGTAGTGCGAAAGTTCTTCGATTATCATGCTGCTCTCTTCTGATGTATACAGAAAATGATCTTGCTGAAAGTAGTTTATTCAATATGAAACTACTTCTTGGTAGATAGATGATAGATGATTACTTTAAAATTGTGTCTTTTATTGCTATCGATAATCGTTATGAATAAATCGACTCGCCGGCTATTGATGCTGATCAAGAATATATACCAGCTAATCTTTCTTCTGCCTGTTGCACATTTTTGCACGAAAGTATTATATAAATTATATAAATAAAAAATCAATAATTATTGATAATAATTATGATTGTGGCCATTTTATTTATTGTGAATATTGTGGAGTACACATTTTTTGGCTAGACTTTAATCTTATCTGTCGCCAGGGCTGTTAGCCATTATTATGTCATTGCATATATAATGCGCCAATTACCACGTGCAACAAAAATAAACATAAATAACTCGTGGAATTGCACAACCTTAATTGCGTTCTCAGAAAGCAGCATTCACAACAGGGTTCCATAAATTCAACAAGGAAGTGGAAAAAATAAAAAATACATACAATAAATATATAATTATATTTCAAAAGGAAATTTAATTTATTTTTTAATTTAATACCTAAAAATAAAACAAATATTTAATTAAAGTGCAAATCCAATGAACATAATCTAAAAATAGTTTATACTGCCTATATTCACAGGGGAAAAAAACAAAAACATTTAACCACTGATCAACAATGTTGACATTAGATAATAAATAGAAATAAAAAACTACGTCGCGTAATTTCCTGAGATAATAATACACAAGTTCTTGAAATATATGTATCCATTACGTATACGCAGCGTGGAACTTTGATTAGAATATGGGAGTACGATTAATCTAAAGCTTTCAGCTGATGTAATCGCTATTATTGTTATTGTAATATATTTGTTTATCAAAACGTGCTCATTCATAGCATCGGGGAAGGTAGAGAGATTGGAGGGATCAACAAATACTTAAACAAATAATTGTGAAGAGCCGCATTGCAAAAAACGAAAACATTTGCTTACCGCCTGGGTATGTGTCTGCACTTATTGTATATACAGATACTATATGTATATGTTTTTACTATAGTCGTATTCAATGTCAGTGCCAGTCATAGACTTTGTTATTTCCATTGTAATTTAAGTTACAAGTTTACGTTACGCTTGCTTTAGAATAGAGGAGTAAACAGATACATATCTATGTATGGGTGTATTATAGGCAAAAAGATATAGATATAGATCGATATACACGTAAACAAAATTACATGTTTATTAAGCAGATGATAGAAATGACTTGATTAGTAAATGACAAACAAATGTGTATAATAATAAATACTATCAACTGCTATTTGGTCGAAATTATAAATATAGATTTATATTGTACATTTACAAGTATTTATGCACATCTGTCGTAGTTAATAACCAAGGGAATATCGTAAAATAACTAAACAGCTTTGCCTTTTAGTTTTATAGTTATTGTAGTTTTAGCAGCAGCAGCTGTTTTTTTTTTTTGTATTATACTCTTCAGAGGGTATTTGAATTTTGTCGAGAAGAGTGTCAGTTTCTAAGAGAAATTGTGTCTCCGTTGTAAAGCTTGATATGAAATGAAGCATTTATCGAACAATAAGTTCCCATACGAAAAGTTTTTCCATTCAATAATTGGCAAATTCAAATGAATAAGGAAATTTCAATTTGCAAGGGTATGCAAATTGCGACGAGCAAGCAGTCAGTTGTTCTTATTTGATGTTTTTTTTTTTTTTTGTTGTTAACAATCTAAGGGCAAAATGTAATTTAGAAAATCGTTGAGCTAATGTCGCCAGCTGTAAAATAAATTTGCATACATTTGCGGAATTTATGAATAATGCCCATTGCATTGTAACTTTGTAAGTCGAACTTGTTTTCATTATTGAGCAGCGAGATGTAAATGAGCTGTATATCAATTAGCCAGAAGCAGCAGCAGCAGCAGCAGCAGATAGCACAACAAACAAAAACTGCGAGCACAATGGCAAACAGCAGAGGGAGTGTGACGGCCAGACTGCGTCAATAATAACTGCATTACACGCGGCAGCGACAAAAAGTTATAGATACTCTCTCCCTCTCTCACAGAATCACACACTCACAAACAGACTCTTACACACACTGAGAGAGAGCGAGAGGGAGAGAGAGAGACAGGGTTCGCGAACGCTATGGTGCTGCATTCGTTGCTTCCTCCCTCGCCGCTATTGCTGCATCGCTTTTTTCTCCTTGTGGCTTCGTGCAGTTCATTGACCGCCGGCACGTGCGTTGAAAACCCGTGCACATCCTCTTGCATTTGTATGTGGTCTGTGTGGAAAACATTGGCATTGCCTCCAAGGCGGGCAATACACGTTGCATTTTATCGCATGCACATGTCACTAGCGCTCTCTGTCTTTCGCTCGCTCTAGCACTATGACAGCTACACACACAAGCAAATACATTCATTTTAATGCTTGTGAATGTGTGTGAAATAGCTTATTATAGCCCCCGACTGAATGCCCCAGCTTGTAGTTGTTGATGTTGCTTGAGTTTTGTATTTACTTTACAGTTGCGCGTGGCCTGCTCTTTGTGTGTGTGTGTGTATGAGTTTTTTTATTTATTTTATTCTCAAGTAACTTGCATTAATTTTGCGTTTTATTTTCGGCTACTTTCGATGTTTACAGTTATTTTTAATTTATCGCCTTGCCTACATTGCCGGCCTCTTGAGTCATCGCCCATTTTTGCCGATTCTATTGCAATTCACAAAGGATAGATTGTATGCCTAACTGCAAATGTATACATTGTATTTTGCACGTATGCAAGTGGGTATGTATGTTGGTATGTAAGTATGTTTGTTCATATCTAATAAAGAAATGATAAGAACAATTGCACACCATTGTTTGTATTTGACCATCAACTTGAGCTTCCGTTGTGGCGGCCCAACAACTACTACAAAATAAATGAGTATACTTCTTATATATTTAATCTAAAGTGATGGGGATTAAGCATTAAATTTATGCATGCACAGTCCGAGACAACTGAATAGTGACAGTGCAATATATATGAAAATGCTTAGTTTTGTTCATGTTATTGCTGAATCAACTTTTTAATACAATTTTTTGCTTGCACATTTTTGCAGCAAATTATGTTTTATTGTGTGTTAAATATTAAATACTATTGATAAAATAAGGTAACAAAAAAATTACAAAAACCAAAAATATTTTAATCTTTAAAAATAACTGCAATTTCACTTATTACTTATTTCACAAGCAGCACTATTAGATTATTCACCATAACCTAACCCAATATGAGCTTTAACCGAAACATTCGAAAACGAATATCATTATTATATACTAATTATTTATTAAAATAATTTATTATTTACTTGTTAATTTTTTAAGATAAATCCATTCCTATTCATATGACTCGGAGTGTATGCAGTCTGAATACTGATATTATTTGTGAGTTATTGCCCTGTGGTTGGGCTTGAAGAGTCAATTTCCGGGTGTGTTAAGCCCAAACTATTATTAAGTTGTTGCCACAGCACTTGAGATAAGAGAACTAATATAACTAATGTAAAATATGCAAACTATTTCAATTTAAATTAACCAACAAAATTATATTATACTTATATTAATATTACTCACACAGAGTTTCTGCAATATATGCTAATTAAACTTCTAGACACCAAAATAGATCATCAATTCAAACCAGTTTTATAGTTTGGGGCACTCGGATCCATAATGAATGTTGAGGTACAACGCATTTCTATCTTAATTCGTCGATTCGTCGATTATGCAACAGGTCTAGACGACGACACGTTTGATTGCTATCAGTGTAGATTGCAATTTTCAATTTGCAATATTTCAGGCCCTTCGCTTACGTAAACACATCCATCCGGAGTGGTTCTACATAATGCAATTATTTGCGAACCTCACACAATGTTGGCAAAAAGTGTTGAACGACACTGGGCAACTAAGTAGGCACTTTAAGAATATATAATCTGGGATGGATCTATATTTACACTTAAAAAAATATCAACATAGAGTAATTTTCATTTAAGGTTTGTCATGCTATAGTTTTTATTATATTTAAGACAGGCCCTGGAAGTTTAACAAACTAGTATATATACTGCAAAAATAAGATTATTTAATGTAAACACTTTGATTAGGAATAATTAAAAATGCATAATATTTTCGACAGATACCAGCTACTTTAACAAACGACCATTAACACTAAAAATTAAGTTCCTAAAACAAAACACTTTTTAAGGTTGTTTTCTTTATTTCAATTATATTCTGAAACTGTTCATATTTGTAATTCAATAATTGAGGAAGCTTTCTTTTAAGATACTTTTTATAAAAATTTTAAAATAATGTTGTAAAGTTCTTATTATTCTAACACAAGACTCAAATAAAGCCAAAATGTTTATTTTTTAAATTTAATAATTTTGCCTTAGGATTGCATTTTTGAACTGATTATGTTTTTTTATGTTGGATCATTTTATATCTTAATATTCTCAGTCTTATTATATCTTTTTTACATTTCTTTCCATTCAATATTTTTAATTTAGTTCCTCTTTTTTAATGTTATTTATAAGTTTTAATTTATTTTGTATTTCTTAAACCCATTTTTATTTAGTTCACATTAAATAAATAAATATATAGTTTATAGTCTTAATATTATTTTAGTAAGTAAATTAAAAAATCGGTTCAAGTTTTTTTGTTGTGTATATTGAAGTAACTTGACTTGCGACCTTCAGAAGTAGCCGATTCAATATGTCGTACATTGACTTGGTAAATTGTCTAACTCGGTGTGCGTGTCTCTCTCTCTCTCTCACACTCCACACTATTCACTCTGTCTGTCTCTTTCACACCCGATCGTTTTTACACGTGCCGTGGGCAGCGTACGTCAAACTTAAGATGTAAAATTGCAATTTTTAGATCAGCACTCGTACAATGTGTTTTTGTTGTTTCGTATATATATCGTCGTATATGTGTATATATAATATTTTGGCCGATTTTATTGGCGCTGTGAGCGGTTCCGGTGCCGTTGTACGCTTTATGCTAATGGCCGGAACGTGTTTTCGAACAAAATGCACTATTCGAGATTTTCATTAGAAAAGTATTATTTATCGCATAAAGGCGGGGATTGCTTTTGACTTATGGCTGGTACGGTCCATAGACAAGCAATTTTACAAGGTTCTCCACATTTCTACAACTACTATATATTATGAACAATTTATCGAAATTGAACTAAACGAACTGATGTCATTTTCTTTCACATACACTATTATTATATATATATATATATATATTGCAATAAATGAAAAGTTTATTGATATACTAAGAATAATTTATGGGTAGCTAGCGATAAATTTACCTATACAATGTTGAAATTTGTGTGCAAAAAGGAATAGTTTTATTATATTTTAATCAGTTCTTTGTTGTACATCTGGTATTATTATCATAAAATGTAAGTTTCTCGCATAGATAAATTATTCGATCTACAAGTAAAAACTAGTTTAAAGAGAAAGAGAATTTCAATAACTTTTACCTATCAACAATCAATGTGAGTCTTCTATCGTTAATGATCGTCATACCTTAGATGTTAAATATAATTAGTAATATAAAATTAGTTTAAACATAAAATAAAAATGAATAAATAAACTCTTACAATATCTCTTTTGTTGAATATATTATTATTAAACATTAAACATCATTTCAATCAGTGATCAATTTGAATATTTGTCCTTAGTTTAAGTTGAAAGTAGATTTTTTATTGATTGATTTTTTTTTTGTATTGGCTGCTTAAATCGTTGGTGATCTGTGATCATTACTAGTGATACAAGAGTTACTAGCTCAATAATCGATTAGTGATCCTCGTTGGGTGACTCAAATTGTATAACAAGAATCAAGGTCCAAAAAAAAAATATCAGACATGGATAAGGAAATATAAAAAGAATAAGTGCGCCAATCTGTCGACCTATAGACTCTCTAGATAAAGCCAAGCAGGTGAATGAATAAATATATATTAAACGTACAACATATATACACAAATAGTAAGAGTTAACTTGTTAAGTGTTGGGGCTGAAATCCGTGATAAGTGTTAGCTAAAGGTCGATGTTAGATTTAAAATCGATTTGGAAGCAGAGGCAGAGAAAGTACTTGAATAGAACTAAAGAAACGCTTTATTTTTCTAAGATATTTGTAATAAATTACACAGAAGGATTTCCCCATTCTTTGGAGTTTCTTTTCTATTTATTGGGCACTTCAGTCACTTCAGCTGTACATAATGCTGTGCATCAGTAACTGGAATTTATTTGCCAGATGCAAATAAAAATCAAGAAAAATTACTTTAACGCACATACATATACAGACATGTGTACATGCATGCAGTATATACACATACATATATACATTTAAATTACGTTGCCAATAAATAAGCCCCCAAAGGCAATTCCATGGCATACTTTATGGCTGGTGACACTTGGGTCCGCACTTGGCCCTGAGGGCCTGGCACCATTTTTTTTCTTCTTTTTTTTTTGCTTCCTTCTTTCTCCGTTCTTCGTTGCTTTCTTGGTTGGTCTCCTTCACACAATCGGCAAATGTGCTGAAGCAGCTCAAAGCGCGCGCGAGAGAGAGAGAGAGAGAGAGAGGGAGAGGAAAAGAGCGAAATTGATGGAAGGAAGCAAATGAAGCGCATATAATCGATACGACGTAGTTGTAATTGCAGAATCTATAAATAAGATCTCTTCAATGATTAGCTCACTTCGCGCAATATGTTTTATTATTAGTTTTTATTAATCTCTGTTATCGCTGCGCCAGCTGTGTCTATTCAGAGTGCCTAATAGTTTTATTATTGTACATTCACCTCTCGCTTGAGTATTCAGTTCGATTAATATATACTCTATACTAATCTGTACTAAGGCTATTTTTTACGTTTTACCTGTAATAACACTTTAATTTAATTGCTTAAGCGCTATCGCTTAGAAACAGTATAGAATTTGTTTCGTAATTAGAAAAACAGATTAGAAAAGCTGTTGTATAACATCCATTAAGCTATAGTCTAGAACAGACTAGGGCAATACTAAATAGATGAATATAAATGACATTCTCTAGTCTAAATTCAAGGGCGTATGCAACTTTTCGTGAAGGGGGAATTATAATCTTTCAATAAATAAAATCCAAATATTTAATTACTGGTCTAATCTTATTAAATTATCTTATTATTATTAACTTTTCGTTTTTAATGTGGAAAATGTAATAGTTAAATGGACATTTCGGTTTATAATATTTTTATTAAATATGAATAACATTTTATTATCAATTTATCATTAATGATATTAAAAATAGAATACATGTTTTTTTAAACTTATTTTTTTTAATAGAGTAAAAATCAAACTCATAATTTCTTTATTATTATTTATTATTGTTTTCTATTATTTATCTTATTAATGTGATTAAAAATAAGCAGCGATCACCTTGGTATAATAAGTATAATCCACAGTTTTTTATAGTTTTCTGGTTTGAGATCGGGGATCCTCTGTTGAAGAATTGATGAAGAATATATATGTGCTTTATTTTTAATTTAACATATGGAACTTATGGGGTCCTTCTGCCTGTTTGACTTCTTCAATATACCCAGTTCTTAATAGGTGCAGGGCATAAAAGTAACCCCTCTGAAATATGGTTGTAAATTATGCGATTCTGATTTTGTTAGTCTCTCTTTGTAGCTTGAAAATGTGTTAACGGATTTCAATCGGCTTACATATTTTTAAATGTTTATTAAGTTTGCGGGGCACCAAGCAAAACTAATGCTAAGCAGATTAAGGACACTATTGACAGCCTAGTGCCCATTAGACTTCCCTAAATTTAGTCTTAAGATACCTCACTCAACCCTTCAGTGGAGCACCTTCCTCCCCTGCGCAATTAAAGGCACATTAAGTTGATTACAAATGGGCAAGATGTTTGAAAAGTTTTTGGCCTAAGCACATAACCGCCAACTGGTAGTGGCATAAATTACAAATTTTACGATTTAGATAGCCGGGCGCCACAAAGACAAGGAGACATGGAGACAAGGAGACAAGGAGTACGCCGTAAATAGGCCCAAGAAATACGTTGTACTCCGTTCTATTTGGCTGACGGTGTGCGTTTAATGCTCTCATTTCCTGCTTTTTATCTGTTTTCATGTTCAGATGTGTGTCAAATTGCCACCCATCTATGCTGCTACACCCCACCACCCATCCACCCAACACCCCCGGGCAAGGTGTGGAAGCCACCCCCTAGAGTTGCTGCATTATACATATGTTTTCCCAAAACGCTGACCGAGAAATTTCCTTCGCTTTGGGGTTGGTTTGGATTTTCTTATTCATTTTAGGTTGGACTTTGGTTTCAGCTTCTTGCCTTGGCTTGAGTTTTCCGGCTTAGCTTTCGCTTTTCGCTCAAGTTCAATGACCTTGCACTTTTCTTTTCACTTTCTTGACACAAAAATTTCCTTAACTCTAACCGGGGGTGGCTGATTTCCCTCCACCAAGGGTGGTTTTCTCTCTTCCTCCAGCGCCGATTGACATGCGCATCATTTCCTTAGTTGGGGTTCGGTGGGCGGAGGAAAAGTCCTCTCCTTCTAAGTAGACCTATGCGTGGCAGTCCTTTTTAGTTAGGACATATTTTATTGTCATACTGGCAAACATTTTGGTTTGTTTGCTTTTATTTAGAGAGCGGGTGGTTGGGGTTGAGTTTGCGGATTGTGGGCTTTTCTTTTGCTAGCATTGTTTTCTGTAGGGCAGAATTTAATGGGCTTACGACAGCTGAGACGATAATGGGGCCTTGATCCATGGAAGTCGAAAGGGTAGAAATAATTTCCTTTTTAATGCTTAGTTGTTATTTATTTAATTTGTTTGTTTAGCTAAGAAATAAAAATTTGCATTTGAAAGCCTTGTAATACAAATTATTTATCAAGTGTATTTTTTTTAATTGGACTGATCAATTAAAATTGTTAATAAAGTTAAATAGCATGATGTAAATGAATAAACGCTTTTCCTGAAGCTTCTAACTTCTGCTGTTTTCAAGCTCTTAAGCTCATATTCATGATTTCAACAGTTCCAATAGACGCCATCTAGAACTTAACTTTATTATAAACACTACTAAATAAATTACTTAGAATTTCCCAAAAAGAAAACTCCTCTAAACAACAATTTCAACTGCACAAAAGCCTTACGAAAAACTCGAGTTGATCTGCAATAAATTTCCACTTGAGCAATGATATCTAGGTGAATACTTTATCCGATCACAACAACACTCAAGTGCAATCCACCCACCCACAAGGAGCCACCACACAAAGCTTCCGAATGATCGTCGCAGCCACCCCCCCACAAATTTTTGAACAACGCCCCCCTTGTCCGAAATAGAAAGAAATAAAAGCAGCGCTGCGGGCCGTAAAGTACAAAGAGCATAATATAAAAGCAACGGAGAAAAAAATACACAGACACACACACACACACAAACACTTATCTAATACTATGGATACCGTTACTTGAGGTCACTGGCCCACACAGACCAACTGCACTTGTATATTACAACAAACAAACAGACGAAAACGAACAACAAGCAACACGGAGAAAAAAATACACACACACATACATACATAGGCACGTACGCACGCACTCTCTCACGCACAAGCAAACAATTCCCAGCCGGTTATGTCATGAATCCAATTGGGTGGGAAATTTACGTTAAGCGTTTTATCACATTTGAGTGCGGCGCGAGTCGTTTGAGTGCTAGTCGTGCAGGGCAATTCTGTGAGTGGATTAGCGCTGGGAAATTTGAAACGTTTTGAGCGCAGGGCATTTATGAGTTGAGTACTTTAAATGGGTAATTCTGTTGTTGCTGCTTGTTTGTTTGTTGTTGAGTGCTTATGTATTGGGTAATTTGATGTAATTTGAATTTGTTGAGTGTTTGTTTATTGAGTCATTTTATGTAATTTGAAGCGCAACACAAATAAAGCATTTGGTAATGGGAAAAATATAAAAAATGTTGTTTTTTATTTATGTTTTACATATGAGTTGAAGAATACAGGGAAAAACCATTAAAACCCAATTAATATTTAATTTGTTTATTTTATATAGAGTAAGAACTAATAACTTTTTATTGCTAAGCTTCAATTGAGTTTCCAGAAATTATAAACTGAATTTCTAGAATTTAAATTATGTAAGTAAAAAAATAACAGGAACGAAAACGAAAAATAAAAATTTTATTTTAAATTGAATTCATTAGAAGATTACTATCTTCTCAAGAATGATTTATTTATATATTTATAAAATAATATCAAATCTTTTACGCAACATTGAAAAGCTTACCCAAAACTGTATTCTTTTTTTAGCTACCTCAAATATTACTCAACCAGCCAATCTCAACTCCAAACTGCCAGTCTCCATTCAAACTTGCGCATGAAACTCACTCAAATTGACAAGAAATTCCCTCAACAATTTCCTTACGCATGATTCAGTGAAATCAGCTGTTTGAAATGCGCAAACTCCAAGCGACTACGCAATGCAATTGAAATTGATTTTGACTTACGGCGGGGAGAAGACGAGGAAACGCAGAACACAGAACGTTCAATGTTCAAGAACGTTGAACGTTGAGCGCAACACCCACCACCACCACCAGGGAAATTTGGAAAAACACCAAAATTGTTGTATGACCCATTTTCAGTTGCAGAGTTCAAAGACCTTTCGCTTCTGAGCTGCGAGCTGCGAGCTGCCAGCGTTGAGCGGTGAGCTTCGAGCGGACAACCCCAAAAAATAAAATATGGGGCTTTTGGTGTTGCTTTTACTTTCTGTATCTAATTTAATTTTTTTTTTTATCTGGTTTTTCTTTTTTTAACAACTGCAACTGTTTTCTAGTTGTGTGGGTGGGTTTCACATGATGTCACGTTGTGTTGGTGTGGAGCCCGAGGGTTGTTATAATGCATAATCATCGCAGTCGCTTTTATGCGTGTCCCAAGTTGTGGATTGGTAAGCTATCATATTATGGTGGTTGCTATTTGACAGAGCCTTCCCCATTCCCCCCGCCACCAACGACCCAAACTCCTATGTCCAACGCCCCCCTCCCATCCCCCTCGCAACCCACAATGTTTCATGTCCAATTTGATTTGTGTTTACTTGGCTTAGTTTGACCCACATCTGGGATTACTCAGTATGACTTTATTCATTATTCCATGTAAATATTTTATGTGTGATTTTGTGTAGTCTCATTAGAATTGATTTCATGGTGCGAAGAATATTAGATTAGTTAATTAAATAATTCGTGCTTGCCAAGAAATCAACAAAACACAATACATTTAATACTAATAATAAACTTGATGACTTTTCTACAAGCTTCTTTTTACAATTGTAATTTAAGATTCAGTTTTCGTAATCAGATTTAATATCTACAATTTCTAATGAGAGCTTTTCCTGAGCAGTTCTGTCTTTATAACACATATTTTATTTATTAATTAATTTTCTGTTTGTTTGTCTTTTGTCTCAGTAACAGGAGCAGAATTGTTTAAAATGACAAACTTTTACAAAATTAGCTGTCACTAAAAATGTAAACATAAATCTCTTGTGAGGCATATGTTTTTTTAGTACATCTCAAAAGACTCAACAAGTCCTAACGATATCAAATTTTATAATTTAATTTCACAGCATTTGAATAATTAAATGTACTTAATATTTAATTCTTTTCAGAGAGGAATCGAAATATATTAAGTCTTCGAAAAATATATTTAAAATAATACAATACGTTAAGCAAATAAATTTATGGAGATGCTAAATAAAGCTTTTTTTTAACAATGTAAAAAATAAATAATATCGGAAACGGAAACAACAAATTAAGCAGCAAGAAAAAAAAACCGAATTGGGAAAAACACAAAGGAAAAGCGCACGAAACACGTCAATTTTAAATGCAGCACGAAAAGCGATCAAAAATTTAAACGCAATAATATAAAACCAAAAATTCTTGGGTGTCAATAAAGCATGTGAATGTGTGTGTGTGTGTGTGTGTGTGGTGCTCCGAAAAGACCAAAAGAAAACAAACGTCCCAAATCTGGGCGAAGGGAAAGTTCAAGAACCCCATGAAAGCGTCAGCGCCAGCGACTCTCACACACACACACTCATATACACACACACACATACATACTTATATAAATGGGGAGCAGGAGCAGGAGCTGAAGCGGGAGCTGAGGGGCGCTGAAAGCATTGCCTGTCTCACTGTTGAATGGACGAGTGCTCCCCTTGTGCCCAAGAAGAAGAACAACAACAACAACAGCAAGCAGCAGGCAGAGCTGCCAACACTTTTTCCCCACTCACCAAAAACGAAAGTGAGTCTCGTGCCACAATCGTCTCGATTCCACCCACACAACCCCCCTCAACTGGCAATCGAAAGAAAAGTTCTGTTTCTTTTTGCCGTTCAACGCAGAAGAGTTCATTGAACTTGGTGCCCGTGGGCGAACGGGGGGGTGGGGCAAAAACTCGGAAGCAAAATTTGTTTGAAACTCTTGCAAGTGAAGACCCCCACTTTGTCTACTTACCAAATATGCTTACTACTCACTCACTTGGTGGTTGAAATGACTCTTTCTCTTCTTCTTCATCACAAATTGGTTAATTTACGTATATATTGGCCACACCGCCCCCATCCCCCTCCCCCACGACGCCTACGCCTATGCAATGAGATTGGAGTTTCCTTTTTTTTTCTCTGTGTGGGTGTGTGTGTAGAAAGTGAAAGCAAATGTTGCATTGATTTTTTTGCTGGCGTTATTCACACCAGAAACTTAAATATTGAGTATACATGTATATTTTAATAAATTGCTGAATTTTCTCAGGTAAATATGCCAATTATAAACCAATAAACCACTTGGGAAAATATCCATAAAATCTTGTGTGTTTTATAGATGATTTGGATTTTTTAAGCAAATATTTTGACAACAAAACAAATATTTTGACAATAAACCAATATTATTCAGATGATTGTCAAAAAACTCCACTTTTATGTAACAGAGATGCCAATATTTATATCTATTCCTATCTCGATTAGCAAATCTAAGACATTTTCATTATAGTTATATAAAATAGATGTCCAATCAGGTGATCTGAACTGCCTTCAGTAAAAAGACGGATAAAAAGACAGCTCTATTGACTCGGCTAGTGTTGCTGCTGAAGAATATATATAAAAAGCTGAACTACCATTTTGGTCTTAATAAAAAGATGATAAAAATATATTGTTAATTTTTAAGACAAACAATTAAAATGAATGCAATAAAAATTATCAACAAAAATGCATATACGATCGTATATTACATATATATAAATATGAGTGTTTGCTTTTGTATACTTACAATGTTTTAAAATTTTCTTTTATTAACAAGAAATGGAACAGACGCCTGCTGTATAAAATTAGCAACAACTTGGTTTTAGTTCCGTTTTTATTCATTTTAAACAGCAAACTGATTCAATTTGTAGCTTTTGCAATGATTTTTCCATTTGTAATAACAAAAAAAACAGGGATTAAAATTATTGATGTAAAAGTTTGCCAGACAATACGAGACATCTGCCTTTTTATATTCTTTCAATACTAGCTAAAATTTGCATATTACTTGAATTTCGGTCAACATAAATGCATGCAAATGAATTCAATGCAACTTGAAGGTCAACAATAGCAAGACCATCATAAAAGTATGCCAATTTTAATTCCTTGTATTTATTTGTGTGCCAAACATTTTATTTATCCAGTATTTGGTCCACCCAAAAGTATGCAGTGTAATTTTCGACAAGATGCTGTGCTGATTCTGTTCAATGAGTTTCAAAGAAATGAACTCTCAAAATTCATTTCGAATGGAGTTTCAAACATTTATTTACATACATAGTTGAGTTACTATAAGAATATATTACGACTTTATTTTATTTATGTAATTGAAAATGTATACTGACGATGAGCTTGTTGTTTATTCGCTGCAACAAAATCAGCAGCTGGTTGACTTAATCTTCCCTTAAAGTCCATTTGCTGAGCCAAACTGAGAGCGAGAGCCAATAAACTCCATGTTTATAAATGAATGCTGATGGAAATCTACCCGCACAGTTAATAATTCTTAGAAGATCTCGGCTAGCCAAAAGTTCATCTCAGCTTAGTGAATATTTGAATCTTACTTGTTGTTTAAATGAGCACACAGCTAAACTGAAATTAATTACATTCCATCACGTGGATAGTTTTATTAAATGTTAACATGCTTGATCTTTTTGTTTTGCTTCTTACGCATTAATAAAAATATATATGTAGATGTTATGCATAAATATGTATGTAAATCATCAGTTGCCCAAAGATGCCGACTTGCGGCGCATCAATTTATAATCCTCTCTCATTAAGCTTACAAGGTTTCAATTTTTTAATTAAAATGAATAAAAAAAGGAGCAACAAAAACATATATATATATATATATTTATAACAAACTAATGGTCTGCATTAACGTTAATAATACGAGCGTTAAATTTGAAATCGATGCACATTTTGCTTTGTAAAGTGAACACAACTATGGAATATTTGGAAAACAATAATAATTTAACCAAATGCCCAAAATCAAAAGAGGCAAATGAAGAAAGTACACATAAAAGAAAGGTGCATTTTTAGTTATAGCATAAACCAATTAATTTTATGATAAACAAGCGTACGTCACGAATTGTTTGTAAACAATTAAAATGTGTGGACCCCAAAACTCTGATTTGCGTGTGTGTTGGTGTATATCTTGTGTGTGATTGTGTTTTAAAAGGACTTATTTAGCTTAAGATGTTGCTGCTGGTTGCTAGTCACTTGACTGTTGATCTTTCTGTAAATTGTGTGTGTGCTGATTGATTTCGTTTACTGCGCTGGCGCCGGCTGCGGCTGTGGAGCGAAACGCTTCACAAATCCAATGCCACCACGAATGATCTTGGCAATGACGGGCGGGGAGCGGGCAGCCAGCAGCTCAAAGGCCAGGCCCAGCTCGGCAAATGCGTTACGCGGATAGGGATTGCGACGCGAGCTGTACCTCATGACCAGATAGTGATAGTAGATGATGGGCGTCATCAGACCAGCGTGAGCCCTGTTATTAAAAAAAAAAAAGGGTAATAGATTAGCTAGGGATATAAATATACATATATAGCACACTACTCACATAAAGGTCAACACAATTGTGTAGGGCATAATAAAGATCTCGCAGAAGGCGGTGGCCTTCAGTATGTTAGCCGCCTGGAACTCCACAATCGAAATTATGAAACGTGCGCCCCACCAAGAGTTCTGACCAATCAGCTAAAAGAGATCAATAAATAAATTAGCAACTGAAAGATAAGATCTGTGACTCAGCTGAACTTACATCCAACAGCTTGAGCGAGTAGCTGGACGCATGCAGCACGGAGTAGAGCACGATTGGGATGAGTACCAGCAACGTTGGCCGAATGCTAAAGAACATCAGCGAGTACATCATATAATGACAGGAGTCTTCGGCAAACAGACGCGCCAGAAATTCGCGACTAAACGAGAACGCAGGCACGCGCTGATGCAAACGCAGCGCCGAAATTGCCGCATTCGCCAGCAGCACCTTGCTAAAGGCGCTCTGCTGTGATCTGCAAGAAATGATGATAAGCAAGGGAGGGTAAGTATCTCAATTAAAACAGCTCAACTGATAGGTAACTGGGCCTAGAATAGGCCAGTAGTTGCTAGCTGATGATATGATATTTAGCAGTTTATATATCAAACATTTTAAGAAAGTTAAAATTTCGCAATTTTCAGAAAACGTTCAAAATTTGGAACTATTTTTCATAAATAAAGTGTGGCTTTTTTTAAGAGACCTAAGAGCTAACAGAATATGATATATATATATATAAAAAAAGAAAACAAAACTGTTTTTTCTTTTGTCTGTATGATAAATCCTAAAATTTAAATTTACATCGCCGATATTTATAAAACGATTTGGTGGCTGGCTGGAAATCTTTTACTCCCCCGTTTTAGTAGTGGTTTTATATACACACATCTCTCTTTAGGTACACATCTCTGTAATACAATTCAAGTATTGTCTACTTAGGGGTTTAGGCCTGTCCTAGAAATTTTGTCTTTCAGTGTCTTTCAAAGTGGGATTACAGAATATGCTGCTTCTGTTCTAGTAATAATTATTTGAACCAAAAATGTTTGTTTAGATATACAGATATATATGTATATATACTTACATTAATATGGGCAACACATAGCTGATGGTAAAGAAGATGACGAGGAGGCGTAGCGCCCAAAGCGCCGAGTCGATGCGATTTGTTTGGAAATGCTGCAGCAGCTTTGCCGGTGCATTTTGTGTTGTCTGCTGTGGTTGTTCCTGTTGCTGCTGTTGTTCTCGTTGTTGCTGCTGCTGCTGCTGTTGTTGTTTTTGTGATGTGCCGCTTGAGGCATTTGGCTGTGCATCGCCCTGGGCGCTGTCGAAGCTCGACTGCTCATTTGTCGTACTCATGCTTGCAGTTGTCTTGGTGTTCCTTCAGTTTTCTGCTGATATTCTTAGCCTGCAAGTTAGTTATCAAAAAAAAATGAAGACCATTAGACATTTGCACCTTATCAGTTGGAATTACAAACAAAAGCTTATCAATGCCTCGCTAATCGTTGCCCTGATAAACTTAAAGCGCCTCGCCACAATTATGGCCCATAAAACTGGTGGACGCAATATAACAACAAGAAAAAGAGTACAGGAATTTACAAAAATAAATAAAGAACATATCACAAAAAATAATTACGAAAGCAACAGAAAATTTTTGAAATTTCTCGCCTAGTAAAAGTTTTCTTTTTCAAGTTTCGCTGTCAGCTTCTAAACCTGCTAGCCAATTTCGAAATTGCTTTGTTATTTTCTACCTTAATAGTTGAGTTTCAGTGCTCTTTTACTACTATAGCTTTGCTTTACTTAAAAAAAAATTAATACTATTTAAAGTACAACAAACTAAAGCAAGTAAAATTTAGAAAACTAACACACAGTTGTGATAGGGTTTTAAAATGGCACGCGCTGTTAATTGTAATTTATATAGACATTATAAATATATCGTAAAAACACACAAAAACCAGTTGAATGGAAAGTTGGAAGCACACACACATCCACACACACTTAATGTCGAAGGCGTGTTCAGAGTTGTCAAATCGGCGTAAATTTTGGAGTCTCTGGCTTGCAAATGTGATGTAAATGCGGACAAGCTGACTGCAATTATAGTCGAGTTTTGCGCAGGCTAAATAAACCAAACAAAACAATTAAATGCCACTTATTGTTTATATAAACACACGATCGCTTCTCTAAAGCTTTACCTAACGATCTCAACTTTCATACGAGCTGCATGCACTAAAAAAATAGTTTTCTAGTTTTCACTATTAATTACGAGAGCTGAGCTTGAATGTTCGTTGAAATTAGAAATGAAGTTAACGAGGCACAGCAATGAAATGAGCTTTTCACGAAATCCGAACACACACTAAAAGCAATTAAAAGATTTTATACGTCAATTTTACAGCTAAACTTCCAGTGAATAACAAAAACGGACTAAGGAGAAGATGCCGAGACGGTTCGTCTGTCACTGACGAAGCCGTAACCACAATGTGCACGTCGTTACGACATACTCGTACACCCGTCAAAACACAATCGCACACACACACACACACCTGTATGTATTGATGTAAGAGTACGTGTTGGTCGAACAGGTGGCAGACACTCAATAGAGACAGAGATAGAGGGGGACGGAGAGAGAATAGAGTGCGAATGCGGTGAGCGAGTGCAAAGCAAAGTGCGACGGCGTAACATGAACAGAAAACGAAGCTTGAACACGCGGAAAAAGTGTTGTAATAATAATTCAATGTTGTCATTATCGCTGTTTTCAAGCCAAACTTGAATACTTGTTGATATTGATCAAATAAAATAGGAGCGGGCAAGGGAAATGATGTGTTTGCCTAAAATGTGTTTGGCTCTATGGCGTACTATTATTTTTAAAAGTATTTTTTTTTTTAATTACTATTAAATGTACAAGCTAAATTTGTAGCCCCATCGAATATGTCTATTATTTCTTAAATTATTAATTTTAATTACTCCAGCATTTACAAGCTAACCACATAACTCCCACTATTATGTTATTCATTTAACAACAGAAAAACAAATAAAAAGAGAAGTTGAATATACATAATTTAGTAAATATATCAAATTGAGTGACTCCTCAAAAGACACTTATTTCACTTAAGGAAATTATATTTAGCTTAATACTTTTTCTACAAATACAAATTTGAATTGGTGGTCAGACACTGGCAACACTGGCAGATAAATGCACACAGGTGATAGATTGAAAACGTTTGTCTAATAGCAGGGACAGCAGTGGGTCATTAGGGGCCCATCATTTCGTATGCAAATTGAAGGGCAGCAGACAATTATTGATTTTCAGGTCCTTCGATTAAAGTGGGTCAAGTTGGGCGCTGGAATTTGACCACGACTATCAAGCAATAATTGATACTTAATATCGAATCGAACTGATCAATTATTTGTGGTTTAAATTGAGCTGAACATTGTGAAATCGAAATATGCGAATATGCGTTCAAAAAAAGAGTGACGTCACATGTGGGACCACGAGGAACACGTCAGCTGCACAATTGAGAACAAGGTGCGCGCTTTTATTTATTGTGTGTGTGACATCTGATTCTGATTGACATCGTTGAACTCTTTAGACCTGAAGTACGCACGAAACACAAACGCATGTCTGTAAATGTGTATATGCAAAATAAATATTTAATTACACAACTATAGGCGCATAGAGCGTGTATTCCATTATATTTCATTTAAGCATCAAGAAAACCAGACCCTCGAATTGCTTGTTTCCGCTTTTTTGGGGCAACACGTAGCAACAGCGTACGAGGAGCCGGTTAAGCAATGACGACGCGACGACGACCTGCATATTTTGTGCCTCTGTTCCCATAAATAAATGCACTTATATATGTACAGCAATTTATGCACATCATAGGGAAATTAGGTTATTAACCATTGCGGGCGCACTTTTTTCTTTTTTATTTATTAATTTGGAACCCTCTTCCAACCACACACTAATACTACCAACGTTTGAGGAAATTAAGTAAACGAAAAAGCGCGAACGGGGAAGCTGACAAATAATTTAGAACTAACACGCAAACTTAATTTCAAAATAACGCAGACTTACCCGAAAAATGTAGCTAACGCGCAGCGTTCTTTTACAGAGCGAAATTAAATTAAAAAATATAAATGTGTCGACACAAAGTTGCGATTGAATGACTGCCGATAAATAATTGTATGCAATACTGGAATGCTTATCGATATTTAACTATCTGGCAGCACTCCGGTCAGTGTGTACATACCAATTAAAAGTGGGGGAGTGCAGCAACAGGCCAACCAACCGCATTTAACAAATAAATTAATGGCACAAAGTTTTGGTAAATTATAGCCATGGACAACAACGATGAGACAACATTACCTGCCGACACATTAGCCATACTTAATGAATTCTTAGCTGAACGCTCACAGCGTGAGCATGCCGAGGAGCAGCGCCAAATTAATAAAACCGGGAAGGATGCACATTTCGAGGAGGATTGGGTAAGTACATTTATTAAACAACTTGTGTATTTAATATAATTATTGGGCATCTTATTTCAGCAACTCAGCCAATTTTGGTACAGTGAGCAGACGAAACGTACAATTGGCAATGCAGTGGAAAAAATTCTGGCTGAACAAAGCAACGACGACTTTCGCATAGCTTTGTTATCCTGTCCTTCGCTGTACGCAACAATTAAGAATTTACACGACAAAGGTAAAAGCTAAAAATTGGTATAAATCAATGTTTTGCTTGAGAACAATCTCACTTTCAGTCAACATATTTGAGTACGACCAACGGTTTGCTGCCTACGGCAATGATTTTGTGCATTATGATTTTAATGCCATCGACAGCAGTTCGGAATATCTCAAAGACCATCACAAATGCTTTGATTTAATAATTGCGGATCCACCCTTTCTCTCCGAGGAGTGCATGTCCAAGATGTCAAGGATAGTAATCAGTCTACAGCGCAGCAGCAAGTCCAAGCTTGTATTTTGTTCCGGCGAAGTCGTCGAGCCTTGGCTGGTCGCCAGTTTGCCCGTGCATAGGTGCAGATTTCGACCAGAGCATGAGCGGAATTTGGGCAACGAGTTCGTTAGTTATGCAAACTTTAATTTTGACCATTATATTGACAAATAAATAGCTCGAGTTTGATTGTGTTATGTTATGACTGAATTTGAATGAATGTTGAATTATTTCGCTGTTGCATCGGCGTCCTTGCGTTGCTGTACCAGCTCACGCAAGCCATCCTCTTGGTCCTTAAGCGACTTTTGCAGGAATTCCTTCTTCTTTTCGAGCAGCTCGATGGCCTTATCACACTTCTCCTGTTTGCCCTTCAGCTCGTCCCGCATGTTCTGCACATCGGTCAGCAGGAACATGCGCCCCACAGACAGGTAGACCCTGGAGTTAATTATAGAAATAATAAATCTGATTAAAGTTTCTCATCGTTGAACTCACCTGGTATCATCCGTTAAATTGCTGGTGCCCTTTTCGGTTAGCGTATATTTGTGTTTGCCCGTCTTCACCATGTCGCATTTCATGTCAATCATGTTGATCTTTTTCGTCGTTTCCAATTTGTTAATTTGCATTTCAGTGAAGGCCTGTTTGAGATTTGAGATTTGGGGTTGGGTTAGGAACAAACAGCAAAACAGATGAGTGTGTTTTTTCTTGCACACGCGCTGCCAAACCGGCAGTCGACTGGTTGCAGTCTTAATCACGTACCTTCTTCAATTCTAAATCCATTTGTGCCATTTTGTGTGTGTCTGCTTTGGGCTGTTATTTATTTCGATTTTTAACTATTTGTCTTATGGACTAATTCCACAAAAGTTTAAACACCTGCGTTTTACTCGAGAATTATTTGTAGATAGCCAAGTGAATTGTGGCGGTCGGTCGATTGAATGTAATAATATATCAATATATTGTCAATGCACCGCTAATTTATTTTAACAAATTCAAATTTTAGCAATACATATTGAAATTACTTTTTAAGTACTTTTAAAGCTACAAAATAAGTTCATTAACAGAATCAGCAGGAAGTATTTTTATTTATAAAATAATTTTTGTGCATTGCATACTTTTTCGCATTTAGTGCAATTGCCAACAGCTGTTTTCAATACGATATTTTCCACGAGTTGTCATGTCCACACAGCCAAGAAAAATATTAGTATAGCAGAGCCGTGTATATTTTTAAATTAATGTCTGAAAATTATCGCATTAGCGTCTTAAGTGGCTAAATATATATGTACATATGTTAGCTGTAGCTTAAGCAATGTCCATAATTGGACAAAACACACGTGTTGCCTGCATCAAAATATCGAACGACTTCGATTGGCATCTAATGGAAAACAACAAAATTGCGTGCGAAGCAAAACATCAGCCCCCCACCGAAATTGACATTGGAATTGTGAAGATAGAAAAGGACACGATTCCAGAATTTAATATCGCCGAGAAGATGGAGTTGCACTGGGAGGAGACACACCAAAAGGAGCATCAGACTAAAACGTGAGCCATTTCTGTGCTGCACTCTAGAATTGACCTAATTGAATCCAACATTTTCTTATGTTTACAGAATTCACAGAGGTAAGGAATTATATATTTGCGAATCCGATGATAAGGAACTGCCAAGTGCAAATATAAATCGATATACACATTGGATTTACGATTTTGTAATAGCAGTTAATTTTCGAGCTTTTTTTGTAGTATTTATTTTTGCTGAGTTTTCTAAGCAATTCCAGAAACAAATTTCATTTATATTTGATTCATTATTACAGGTCAAAGAATGGTAAACTGGCGGGAAGCAGAAGTAAATTATCTGATTGATTTGATCAAAAGCCATTCCTATGTTTGGGATACTTCAGTGCCTGACTTTAAAAAGAAACATTTGAAAGCCCATTTTTGGTATCTGGCTGCCGACAAAATAAATGGAGCCCTAAAACCACGGACTCCATTTACTCGAAGTATGTTTAATATTTTTTATGATTTTTATATGCTTTTATTGTATTCATTAAAATACTATGTTTTTCATGTCAGATGATTGCTTTAAGAAATGGAACAATTTACGAACATATTTCCAAGCGGATCTCAAATCCGTTAAGACCAAAAATAACGGTAGCCTTTCCGACGCAGAGGACCATTTGGCTGGAGGCTGGAAATACAGTTCAAGAATGAGTTTTTTGCTAGGTTGCCGGCCGCCGCAACCAACGTTCAACCATATTGATCATTCTGTAAATATTCTAACAGTATTCGCCTGAGCTCAACTTTATTTATAATTAAATGTATATTTGATTTAAAGGTTTTTGAAACGTCGGCCAGCTTATCAGATTCAAATGGAGAAATGGAATCTGAAATGGGATCCGGCGAACCTTGTGTAGTGCTCGAACCGCTAGCTCAAGATACTCAGGATAATGAGTTTAATCGATCGAATGAGAATTTTGACGATGTGCTCGAATCCATACCGGAAAGACCGCAGGCCAAACGTAAAAGAAAGCCAACAGAAATGACTGAAAACGCATTGCTCCACAAATTGTCGGGCGTTACGTCAAACCAAACGAGTAGGAAACAGGAACCGCCATCTAATTGCTACAGCAGATATGTTGGTCAGTGCTTAGATAGGCTGGATCCGGATCTTAACTTGGAGGCAAGAGAAAAAATATGCGAAATCTTATTTAGATATGAAAGAGTACAATTGGAGCGACAATAGACTGAATACAATTATTTTGTTTGCATCAAAATATGTGTAACTAGAATTTAAGTAGTCATTAAACATAAAGTTAAACATAATGCTCCCTCACAAATTGAGAACTAGATTCAGTTAGGCTTAGGATTGACCATTGAATTGAAAGCCAACTATTGATTCATTCTCTGTAATTTACAATATGTCATTCATTCGTAGTTCTCCAAGCTCCTTTAAAGGGAATTATAGTAATATTATTGATAGCTATATAAAAAATAACGAGATATATCTTATGAGTAGTTTATATAACTAGTATATATAACATTTTAATCTGTTAAAAGATTTGGTTTTTTATCAACAAAAAATCGAACTATTTTATCAAATAGTCACCATAACAACTTTCTTCCATTCTTCCATCACTTAATGTAGATTTCGTTTGTTTTGATTGCTTGTAAGGTTCTTAGAATTGTTTGAAAATCGCGTTTTCAAAAACATAATACAAAATACTCATTTCAAATAATTTGCATTTTAAGTTTAGTACTGATTGAGATTGGGAATCAACAAAGCGATTAATTTAAGGAGCGTTTACTGTACGAATTATACAAAAGTCATTAAATATAAATTAAAACTAGAATAAATTGTTTCAGTTTTACATAAATGAAAAATGTTCTTTTGTCGAATATGGGCTGGAGGCACTTTAGACTAACTATATGAGATTAACCTACTTTACGGACAAGAATTGCCGGCCCAGAGAAGCCGGCAAAGTGCTTGACAGCCGAACCACTGAGCTGACATCAGCCGTAGTCGCATTCATTTGCCTGGAAACATGGAAAGGTGGCACAACAAACTCGCTGTTGTTACTGGCGCCAGTGGCGGCATTGGAGCCGCTTGTGCCCGAGCCATGATTGGTGCGGGATTGCGCGTGGTGGGCCTGGCACGTCGCGAGGCCAAATTGAAGGAGCTACGCGAGAGTCTGCCGAGTGAATTGCGGCACAACTTTATACCACGATGCTGCGATGTCACCAAGGAGGAGCAGGTGCAGAGCTCATTCGATTGGATCGAACGTGAGTTGGAGGGCGCCGATGTACTCCTCAATAATGCGGGCATCACACGGGAAACCGAGCTGGTTACGCCCGGCAATACGGCAAAGCTGCGCGAAGTAATCGATACGAATATTATGGGCGTCATTTGGTGCACCCGAGCAGCATTCAACAATATGAAGAAGCGCGATGTTGAGGGTCATGTGCTGATCATTAACAGCATTGCCGGCCAGCAGGTGTTGAACTTTATAGATGTGTTGCCCTCGTTCAACATTTATCCGGCCACCAAGTTTGCCATTACGGCCATAACTGAGACGTATCGCCAGGAATTTCAGCTGCATAAGAGCAAGGTGCGTGTCACGGGCATTTGCCCGGGCGCAGTCAATACGAATATCTTTCCCGAAGAGATACACTTCTATGTCAAGGACATGGCCAGACTGGACCCCTCGAACATTGCCGATGCTGTGCTCTATGCACTAAGCACACCGCCACATGTTCAGGTAAACCACATTGCCATCAATTCTCAATTGTCTCAAATGTAAATTGAACGCTTTGCAGATACACGAGATAACCATAAAGCCGATGGGCGAGATATTTTAGGTCTTCACGTGGAATTTGGTTTATGCAGTGCAGAAATGTAGAAGAAATATATATACAGCAACAACGAGTGCGACATGTAATCAACTGTTTGCCTACTTTGATTTCTTTGGCTCAGCAGGTGATGGTGCAGCTGTTGCAGTTAACTTCAGAGCGGATAGTCGATCACGGAGCGCCTTTTCGTTGAGGGTGTGCATGCAGAGGAACTGGCCGTTGAGGAACAGCACGGGTATATCGTAGCGAAAGAGTCGCAGATAGCGCACATTCTCCTTGCGATCGATGAACACCTTCTTCAGCTCAAATTCACCGGCAAAGTTCTGATCCAGCTGCGCAAGCAACTCATCACACAGCGGACACGGCTCTTTCGTATAGAGTGTCAGTTGGGGCAAATTCTTCGACGGATTGGTTGCGGGCATGCTGTAGAAGGTGGAGAGAGATCATTATGACAAAATGAGTAAACATTTGCTTGAAGCTACTTGCATTTTCTCCAACACCATCAGCACGCATCGTCCATCGCCCGACTCCATAATGACACAGCCCAAGCTGCCGGCGGGCAGGGCATGGACTGTGTGCGTCAGCACATGGCTGGCAGTGCTCTGCTTGACATCGTGCGTGCGCACATGCTTCACATTCAGCTCGGCCAGCATGTTCAGATGTTGCTCGGGCGCATCATTCACGACCAGCTGCCAGTTGTGCACATCGTTCAGCTGAATTGGCTGTTTGTTGCTCAGCCGATAGATTGCCTGTTTATTGTCATTCACTATAAAGAATTCCCGCACCACCGCCAGCGGTTGCAATTGCAAGCGTTCTGCTGTTTCCATGGTGGTCAGTGCCAGTGCTGCAGCGCCTGGACACTCCTCCGGCGCATCCGAACCATCCTTCGCAGTATTTGCTGTTGCCTTGGGTTTTCTGCTGGGCCGCATTCTGGCGGTGATCAATTCACTGGGCATTGAGTCTTTCACCTGCTGTTTAATATGCGCACGCGTATCGCCCAATATGATGCAACCATCTGCGTTTTGCTGCAAGCATTCCAGAGACATTTGCAGCCCGCTCACCGAACACGCCTTGTTTTGGATTGCATGCGTCTGGCAGCTCTTCAGTCCCAGATTCTGGACGACGCTGCTGAGCGAATCGCTATCCACAATATCGCTGGAGGTGCACACAAAAAGCTTCTTGAACTCCTCCCGTGGCACAGCGGTGCGCTTGACCAGCTCATCGATGATCAGGCCGGCCAACTGATCCTCCGTCTGGGCATACTCGAAGGAGTTGGGCGTTCGCACCGCGGCTGCGATGACAACTGCATTCTGGCTTGGCTTGGGGCTGTAGTTGCGCACCAATTGCCTGATACTAAAGTTAAGTTTAGTTTTAGTTGCACTTCTTCTAGTGCTATTAATAATGCTTATTGGAACGCACCTTTTCAGGCATTGCGGCCGAAATATTGCTGACATTTTTTTTTGTTTTTTTTTTGGCAGAACAGCTGTTACTGTTATTGTTATTGTCGTGTGTTGTGCTACTTATTGTCATTTCGAATTTTCGATTTCGATAACACACACACACACAACGATCCGATCAGCTGTGACATTTCGCTCATGGCAGCTGTCAAATCAGCTGATTTGCTCCGAAAATAACAGCAACAAATACATTTACGGAGCGAAACGGAGAAAGTTATTTTCAATTTATAACGATAAATTGGGCAACAACAAGCCACACACAATAGAGGCCAAGCAGCGCAACAAAACCAGTTATTACGTTCAACTCGCTAGTAATATTTAACACTACTCCGCGATTAACAGTTGTAGTTTCAATAAACTAGACTACGGCAAACAATTGAAATACAAATGGAATTGACCTTCAAAAAGGCACGATTGGTAACTAATGCAAACACAGCTGCAGATCCAGATGCAGATGCTGCTGCTGCCGCTGCTGCTGCTGATGTAAGTGAAGATTACAGCGATGATACCGTGGATGAGCCAGAGATGGGCTGGTGGGCACTGCCAGAGCCTGCCCTCTTGCAGATCTTTGCACAGCTGAGCGTCTATGATCTGCTCCAGGCGGGACTCAGCTGCCGGCGTTGGAATGCCATTTGCAACGATGATTTGCTGTGGCGCGACAAGTTCCAGGAACACTTTCGTGCCTCGCCAAGCATACCGCTCAAGCCGGGCGCGAGCAGCTGGCGTTCCGAATATCAGCGGCTCAGCACAAAAATTCCATTTGTGCAGGCCCAGCGTCTGGAGCCGAGCGACGGTAGCAATGAGGGCCACACACATCAGGTGCTGCACGTGAGCTTTGCCCACAACGGCGAAATGTTTGCCACCTGCTCCAAGGATGGCTATGTGATCATCTGGAACGCACAACACCCATGTACTGGTGAGCATCGCCTTTGCCTTTACTAATCCTCCAAATCATTGGCTTTCACTGAGCATCTCATTATTCAACTATTTCCAAGGCTTGGTAGGCATTATCAGCAGAACATCTGTCAAGGGAGTGCCGAAGGTTACAGCCCCTTGCAGACCAGACCAGCAGCCACCTGATTAAATACGAATTTCATTGTAAATTTAAAAGATCCACAGTTTTTTCTTATGGGCGCTAGATGATCTTATTGAATTCATTATTGGTTTATTGATGAGCTAGATTCAATTCAATCGGCACCTTTTTGATTACGTGTTTATATGTCATATAAGCAAGCAAGTTTTCATCCTTATCCGATTGTTCCAATGGCAGACATATGTTATAGTTTTCGAATCCCAGCAGAAAGTCAGCTTTCTAACTTTTCAGTTTTGGACCAATTCAATTATCACAAACCGAATTTGAATGATACATTTTCGCATTTATGCTTTCAGAAAAATATGCGCACAACATGAAGCAGTTTAGCTGGAAATACACACAGTATTCCCAGTTTAATCAGACGGACACGCTGCTCCTGGTCTCCGGAGTGCACTTTGGTTCGCCTCAGAGCACTTCCGGTGAGATCGCTGTCTTCTTTCTGGGTGCAACGGAATCTCATCTGCGGTGCCGAGTCGTCAATCGTCCGTATGACATCTTTGGCACCTGGTTCAGTGATCAGTATCTGATATCGGGTGATCTGCATTGGCTGGCGCATTTGGTGAGCACCTCGGTGCTGTGGCTGAACAAGGCCAATCAGGAGGCGGACTCGGAGCATGTGCCCATCATGAGTCAGCTGTACAAGTTCTACAATCGCAACGCGAGCTCTGTGCGCGCCCTAATGATGGCAAGATGTCCGTGGCTGGATGACTCCAATGATCCGTTGGCACGCCCGCAGCCAGAAGAAGCCGCTGCTCCCGCAGACTGCGATGAGCAACCCTCGACGTCTGCCGGTGCGCTGGCCGTTGCCAGTGGCAATCCTCTGTCGCATGCAGCCAGTTTGAGACGAACGCGCAGCGCTACGCCGGAGGATAACTATTTGCCGGACATCAGTGAACACAGCCAGGTGCGGAGATCGCGGGCACGACCCGGTCACACAACGGATGCGACCATCCACTATCTGGAGGAGTACAGGCGGGCGGCTGTCACGGCCACGGAGGACGATGAGATGGACACCGAGGAGGAGTACGAGTCGTGCGAGGAATACGATGAGATGGAGAACAATGTGCCCAAGTATCTGATCTTTTCGACCGGCTCGAAAACATTTACACCCCATCAGATTGGCTTCAAGCGCATTCGTAACGTGTATTTTCCCAAGAAACTGGATCCGGGTCCGACGCTCAAGGAGCGAATTGCGGCCAAGCGTGCCGCCGAGCAACAGCAGCAGCAGACGCCGCACAACGATCCCGATTGGTGGGATTATGAGTCCGTCAAGGATCGCTTCGATCAGGTGGACAAGGTGATCGATCTGCATGGACATATCATTGGCATGGCACTCAGTCCGGATCATCGCTATCTCTATGTGAACACACGCCCGTGGCCCAAGAACTACAACATCACCAATCCGCTGGAACCGCCGCCAATTGCCCAGGAGATCGACATCCACGTGATCGATCTGATGACGCTCAAGCGAGTGGGCAACATGCTTCGTGCCCACAAAGCCTATACGCCTAGCACCGATTGTTTCTTCATTTTCCTAGACGTGTGCGACGAATATGTGGCCAGCGGTGCTGAGGATCAGCATGCATATCTGTGGGATCGCTACTATGGCATCAGTTTGGCCAAGTTCAAGCACTCGGATGTAGTCAATAGTGTTGCCTTCAATCCGAAAGACTCCCAGATGCTGGTCACAACCAGTGATGATTACACCATTAAGGTAAATTGCCAGCATCTCTTTGACCTGATCTGATCTGACCTGATCTTGTATATCTTATATATAGGTTTGGCGCTCCCGTGCCCAGGCCACGGCGTACAACATCCCACTGAATGTCAGCGAATCGTTTGAGCTAAAGCCAAAAAATTAATTAACAACAGAAACTGCCTGAAGAAAGAAATTGCATCGATTTGAATTTGTTACATAAAAAACAATTCTTTAATATTTTGTTTCTTTTTTTGCAGATGTCTATGAAAGTGTACTATAGAAATCTTTATGTTTAACAAACGAATAATACATATATTAGAAGCTGTAATTTGAAATTGTTTTGTTTCACGAAATTGCGTCGACTTCACTTTGTTACTTAAAAAACAATTCTTTTATATTTAGTTTTTACAGGTGTCTATGAAATCATTGTTGAAAAAACAGTATATAATAAATATATTGGAATCTGTAATTTGCAATTGTTTTTTGTTTTTCTGTAGGAAACAAAAATTTTGAGAAATGATTTAAATGATCATTTTAGTAAATAGTCTGTATAAACTGCCTCTTTTGGTGTTAGCAAATTGTTCTACTTTTTTGTTGTTTTTGTTTGTTAATATTCAATTAAATGTAAAAAGGTTTCGCCTCAAGATGATTTACTTTGTGTTTGGGGTTTGTGACTATAGCGATGGCTGCACTGTCGTCTCTACTTCTCTGACTGCGGCTGCTGTTGGATTCGCTGTTGTGCCTTGAATCGGTTTCGATTGCGCCTCAGCGGATGTGGAAGGCTGTTCGTTAGGGTGACATGAATCATTGTTATTGGCCGCTGGCTTCTTCTTGTTCTTCTTGCGCTTTTCGGGATGGCCAAAGCAATGCTCGCATTCGTCATCATCTTCTGAGGAGCTCTCGCCAAAGGCCAAGGGTTTCTTGTATATGCAACAACCTAAACCCACACACACACTCAACTATTGCAGTCAATGTAATCATTAATAATGATTTCAACACTTACATTTGGATTTCATGCGATTCATGTGCTCATTGTCGATGATACCATCCTGGAAGACGACCCGGCGTTTGTCTCGCGGCTGTTCGAGGCGCAGCACCAAGGTGGGCGCTTCCGCCTGTTGGCCGCCATCTGGTTCGTCCACAGTTTCTGTTTTTGATATATCGGACGTATTACTTGACGACATGTGAGCCATTTTCAATTGGCAAAATAAACAAACAAAGCAGCTATAAAAACAACGTAGATCAGCTGCAGCTTTTCGTAGTGTGGCCAAATTTGTTTTCTTAACGGTTGTCGATAACCGATGAAAATGTATTTCGATTGCTTGGACTGACGCTGACACATAGGTGGCGCCAGATTGCAAGTGCGACTGTGTGGCTGTGTGGCAACGCTGTACGCAAACGTCAAGTCGCAGCTGTCAGTCGTCTCGTACCGAAAATGTCTGCAATTGTGCGATATAATTTGTTAACGAAACCGCAATTTGGTAAATAAACGCAAGTTCTTAACTCGTGCATGCCTAACTTTATCATTGCCCAGCCAAGCTGCACAGTAGGCGTGGCATTTAGCGCGCAGCCAGCTGGCATATACTAAACATTACACTTGCAAACAAATTATGTAATTTTTGCGCACATCAAAACAAAAGTGCTGCAAAATATAATTTATATTGATTTTGTACAAAATTGGATTATTGCAGTTGCGGCGCTGCCGTCGACTCTGCAGCTGCGCCTACAGAGCACTCAGGCCCCGCCACCCGGCACACCGCCACCACAAACGAAGACCAAATTTGGTCCACTCGCCGATGAGGATCGGATCTTTACCAATCTTTATGGACGCCACGATTGGCGTTTGAAGGGTGCCCAGAAGCGTGGCGATTGGTACAAGACCAAGGAGATTGTGCTCAAGGGACCCGACTGGATCATCAATGAGGTCAAAACGTCCGGTCTGCGTGGACGAGGTGGCGCCGGTTTCCCCAGCGGCATGAAATGGTCCTTCATGAACAAGCCCGGCGATGGACGTCCCAAATATCTTGTGGTGAATGCCGATGAGGGTAAGGCCATGACTAGGAAAAGATAACTCCCCCACTCTACTCTACAAATATGTACTTCCACCAGGTGAACCGGGCACTTGCAAGGATCGCGATATTATGCGTCACGATCCGCATAAATTGGTGGAGGGCTGTCTGATTGCTGGTCGTGCGATGGGCGCCCAGGCTGCCTACATCTATATTCGTGGCGAGTTCTACAACGAGGCGTCCAACATGCAGCTGGCCATTGCGGAGGCCTACCAGGCAGGCCTTATTGGCAAGGATGCCTGCGGCACCGGCTACGACTTTGATGTGTTTATGCATCGCGGTGCTGGCGCCTACATTTGTGGCGAGGAGACGGCGCTGATTGAATCGTTGGAGGGTAAGCAGGGCAAGCCACGCTTGAAGCCCCCATTCCCCGCCGATGTGGGTCTCTTTGGCTGCCCCACGACGGTGACAAATGTGGAAACGGTCGCTGTGGCGCCTACAATTTGTCGTCGTGGCGGCAACTGGTTTGCCAGCTTTGGACGCACTCGTAATTCCGGCACGAAGCTCTTCAACATTTCGGGGCATGTGAACAGGCCCTGCACCGTGGAGGAGGAGATGTCCATCCCCTTGAAGGAGCTAATTGAACGCCACTGTGGCGGAGTCATCGGTGGCTGGGATAATCTGTTGGGTGTCATACCCGGCGGCTCCTCCACACCCATCATACCGAAGAAGGTGTGCGATGATGTGATTATGGATTTCGATGGTTTAATTGCGGCCCAAACATCACTGGGCACAGCGGCCATCATTGTGATGGACAAGTCAACGGATGTGATCAAGGCTATTGCTCGATTAATCCACTTCTACAAACACGAGAGCTGCGGTCAGTGCACACCTTGCCGCGAGGGAATCGGCTGGATGAATAAGATCATGGAACGGTGAGTTCAGCATTTATCAGAAATTCATTTTTATACCCTGAACTCACTGAATGTAAGAAGGGTATAATGGGTTTGTGCAAATTTAGCAAACAGGCAGAAGGACGGATCTTCGACCCCATAAGTTATATATATTCTTGGTCAGGATCAACATTTGTCTGTCCGTCAGAGACTATACGAGCTACAGACATCAAATTTGGAATTTAAGTTCTCGTATACTCGCAAATTTGCTTCATTCTATCAATAACTGAATCCGTTTATCTAATATCGATATGTTTCGATTGCCGATAGCAATCAATCAGTACCAAGACAAGATCGGATTAGATACACCCAACTTATAGTTGATCTTATAGTTTGACAAAACACAAAAAAACAGCCAATAAAAGTAGAATAGACTTAACAGCTGGTTTTAGAGGGTATATCGTAGCCGAGCTCACTCGCTACAGCATTCTTAACTGTATTCTTTTTTGTTTTTAAGCTTTGTTAAGGGCGATGCTCAACCTGCTGAGATTGACATGTTGTGGGAGATATCCAAACAGATCGAGGGACACACGATTTGTGCGTTGGGCGACGGTGCCGCTTGGCCGGTGCAAGGACTCATTCGTCACTTCAGGCCCGAGATCGAGAAGCGAATGCAGTTGCATGCGCAGCAGCCAAAGCGCGCCACTAATTAATGTATACCGTTATAGCTAATTATATTTGAATTATGTTTTTAATCGCGCGTCGTTTCTTGCAAATAAAAGTGTAAAGTTCTCTAAACTACAAATAAATTCATAAATTCAATTAAATGGTAAGTCCTTAATGTACTTGATGATATCCTATTTATCACACATCTCAAACTTGAGCGGAGAACTGCTCCAAATTCACAAAAGCCTATATCTACCGAAATTTTAAAGGCAAACATGGAGGATAGATTGCAAGATTGCTATCAAAGATCGATATTTCTTGGCTACACCCAAGCAACCAGTTATTGGTATCAAAGTATTTCGCAGTAGGCTACGCCCGACTACAGCGGCCTCTCTTGTTTTTCTTAATAACTTTATAGCTTCTCATCTTTTAATGTTTACTTATCTTTAGTTATATTTCAAGTATTTTTTAACATGTTCTAAGAAGATATGTGTGCACACTATTATTTTCACCGCTGCTGTGTATTCAATTTGTAAGTAAGCCCTTAATGTGCTTGATGACGGCATCTATATCCTCTTTATCAGGCATCTCATATTTGGGTGGAAAGCTGCAGAGAGTAAGATCACCGCCAATTTGCGACTCCACACCTGGATAATCCTCGCAGCGTCCAGGTATAAATTCATATCTAAAAGATTAAGATTAAAGGATATGAATAAGTGTCATACAGCCTAACAAATGTAGTGCAGATCAAAAACTTGTCATAACAAGTGCATCCAGCTGGCAAACAACGGTAAAAGTACAGTTAGTTATTAGTCTACGCTTTTGAGAGTGTTTTGCCAGCTGAGAACGTATAAAGGATAAAGAGAATTATAAAAATGAGCATCGATGCGAGGTGCGAAGCGCGCATAATGAGAACTAGCATTCAGTCTGCCGGATAGAGATGGGCGGAGAAATTGTTGTGATTCGCTGCGATCGAGGCGTATAACAATTGTATAAATGTAAAGCAATCAAATCCCCTACCACCATCTCTGACATACACAATTAGTTTATTTTTTATATGATTTCATGAACTTACTCTTCCGCTGAAACGCTCTGCAGTAGCAGCAGCAGCGCCAGACATTGTATCAAATAATTTAAAAACATTTGTTAATTATTTGTTCAACTTGCTTCAGTTTGCACGTCTTAGCAACGACTGTTTCAGTTGCTGTAAGTATTGTGCTTAATAAGTTGTTTATGCAAATGGGTAGCAGCATCGGGATTTTTGCACATATAATTAACTAGTTGATGGTCACTTGAGCTATAAATACAACAAAATTCTAGTCATACGACTTCCATAACGCAGTTATGATAAATCCCGGATAGATGAACGGGGTTGATATTCAATCATTACAGCAAAAAATGTAATTATCAAAACTTATTGGAAGTGATTGGATAAAATACGCAGTTGCTTCCGTCTCCATAAGCTTATTTGAATACAATAAGCTTTTTAAGCTTGACATTAGTGTTGGAACGAAATACAAACGATCCCATCGACAGGCGTTGAATGAAATTACTGTGACAAAAGCTCAGTAACATTGTTCCCGTCTTATTCTCTAATCTTCCCATGGCGTGGGAAAATTACAACGGTAAAGTGTATAAATATATATATAACAAATAGCTGTAAGTAAAGCTGAAATATTTGATAAAATATTTGTTTTTATGTTTACCATTCTCTTACCTGTTTTTTTTTTACCTACTTATGTTCATATAAAGAGAAAAAATAACATTAAAACACAATTTAAATAGTAGCATATTTATAGCATTTATAGATTCTCTTTGGATTTTTGTTGTTGTATGAAATTTGAGGTGATCACAAAATGAAAATTGCTACAAGTAGTTTGCATAGTTAAAGTAAAGTAATGCTAAATGAAATATAAGCGAACACATAATTAACCTATTGTTGAGTACTAATAATGTCAAGATTGGTATAAATATTGCATAATGTTAATGGTTTGTATTTTAATGTAACGCAACCAAAAGCGTCAGTCAGTTAACAGGTAAATCCTTTGGATTTCGATACTGAATACATAAAATATTAACACAATCTATACGAAATCGAACATTTACTAATAATAATATTTTAAGATTATTTTGTCTGGCTGATTGACAATCATAGACTGAGATATAGAAGTAAGTAAGAAACGGAAACGGCAACGGAAAAAGAATTCTTCTACATCGGATAGACATACATATATTTGTGGGTAAACTAAGTACATATAGCTTTCGAACTGAATAATTTTATATTGCATATGGATTGAACTGCACAGGTGTTCAATTTACAGGTCGTTTGAACGTTAAAAATGTTAGAAAAAGTGTAGAAAGAATGCTTTTCGACACATTTATATACAATTTTTTTTTACATTTTTTGTTTTTAACTTTTTTTTGTGTTTTTTTCCTCTTAAATACGTAGATTTGTTTAAATATGTATTTGATTTTAGTTTGTTTAATTGATTTTTTTTTTTTTGTTTAGTTTTAGATCATGTTTTAGTTTGATTTGTTTGTTAAACTTGGCTTAAAGCGTTTCTTATTGCTTATCTATGAGAAGGAACATAGTACAATATTATGTATGTATGTATGTATGTAAGTTATTTTCATTTAGTTTCAGCTTAAAGACTAAACAACATTTTAAACAAGTCACTATATGAGTTCTTCTATATGGATTCGTTATCTGTGTTTCAATTTGTATTTTGTATTTGTAATCATGCTAGTTGTTAATTTCAATTGCAGCCCTTACATTCTTTTTTTTTTGTAAATAAGCGTTAACAACTATGTATTTATGTATGTATGCAGGTAGTAGCTAAACTATGTATAGAGTATATATATGTATAGTGTATTTATGTATTTTATATATATATATATGATCTCGCTTGTATATTTGTATATTGTTGTTTTGTTTTGTTTTGTTTTGACAACTAATTGCGAAGAGTTTTGGAGAAAAACATCAAGAGAGTTCCATAGAGGGGGATAGCTTTTTGGGGGTCGAGTGTCATAAGTAAAAAATATGTTATATATATATATATACATATATATATGTTTGTATAATGTATATCAAGTTTTAGTTTAGTATCACACTAGTAGAGATAATGCGAAGAAGCCTGAGCTCTATACTGCTTCGGTGTTAGCTTTATCAACTTAGGATTGAAAGCCCCCAACGCAGCCTCATTCGTCGATGAGGGTGCCGGCGGGACGGTATGCGAGCGAAAGCGCGAACGCAGGAAATTTTGCATAGAGCGCATCCGGATGATTGGCGCACAGGGCGATTGTCGTAGCGTATTGTGGTTGAGCGCCCAATAGATGACCGGACTGATGGCCGAATAAAAGTAGCCTGTTAAATATATATATCAAAAAATAGACAATTTAAATTCAATTTATAATCAATAATTACAATAAAGCGTTGGTAAATCGGGGATGCTTAATAGATTTCTTGTCTTGTAATATATAAATATATATATGTGCACGAGAAATACGAGCTTTTTGCTTCGTTACTATGACAGGGGTGCATTGAGTCCTCCTTATTGATCTACCCTCATTAACTAATTAATTACTAAATAGGGATATCGATTCTGCTGCGTTTCCCTCTATTCCCTGTTGACCTTTCTGTTACTTCTTCTCTAATTATCTAAAACGTTGCTTGTAGCTTTTAATTATTACAATAGAATTTATTATTAAATCGTTTCAGAGTTCTTTATTTCCATCATTAAGAACACAATTTTAAATGTCTTGTCTTTAAAATAATATTTTCGCAAGCATCTCAATTAATTTTGTTGAAGAATTATTAATTTTTAAACAAGTTAGAATGCTCTACTCGACTAGAAGGCACCCTAAACGCAGCTTGGTTGCAGATAGTATTTTGTTCAATAAGAAAAAACATTTTAGCTAAAATCGAAAACATTAAATAGTAATAATAAGTAAATAATATACACTTTTATTCCAAGTTGCAGGTAATTTTTCTGTCAGACAACTAAATGATTTACAATGCGAAACGGTTGCATAAGAAATATGATAATTGAATAATGAGCTCCACTTACCCAATAGAAGACTGAAATAGACTGAAGTTTTACTGCAGTATTGCTTATAACCGAAATTCTTGTAGAATATGCAGAAGACATGCGGTGCCCAGCAGACGATGAAGATTAAGGCGGACGCAATCAGCATATTGGCCAGATGACGACGAGATCGCAGTGTCGATGTCTGCGGCAGCGGAATACCAGGTGTGGCGGGACCACGGCCGGAACGATGAATGCGCTGCCGCTGTGAATGGGCACGAATCTCCCTCATGGCTCTAGAAGATTAGAGTTCCATTGCAATGATTGACTTAAGTTTGACTGAATAATCCGAGACTTACCGGGGCGAAATGGGATTGCTGGACCGATAGGAGCCCGGCTCCAGTGCAGCGCTGGAGCCCGGCAAACCTGGCTGTAAATTGTGCAACTGTATATCGCCCGGACTGACGGCAATCTGGCCACCACCATTGCCATTCGATGTGTCGTCGACGGTGGTGGCGCCACCGCAACCCGCCTGCTGTGCATTCGCACAGCCCGTCACAATGACCATGTGCGTCTGGCGGCGCAGGATCGGCATGGGCAGCGGCAGTTCGCCATGAGCCGCCCTCGCCGTCAGCGACAGGGCGCAAAGCTTGCGACGAACCCCATAATGATTGAGGAGCACTCCGACACCGGGCAGCACAAAGACCGCAATCGTGTGGAACATGATGAAGGAGACAAACATCGCATTCGCACCCAGCTCCGAGGTGCAACTGATGCTAACCGGATTCGGTGTGGTGCCCGCCCCAGCTCCCTTGATGATCACCGATTTCGCAATGATCTTGTATGCAAATAGAAAGGGTGAACTTATCGCTGCCGATGCAATCCACGAGAGTACCGCCAGGGAGGCGTGTAAATAGCGTCGCTGACGCAACTGCGCCAGCCGTGGATGCTTCACAGTTGCATAACGATCAAGCGAGAGCATGAAGAACGATATTGTGCTCGCCGCCACTGGCATTACCTGAAAAATCAGATTATAAATCGTATCGTAAATAAACATCCAAGAGCGCTTTAGCCTAATAAAATAAATCGAACTAAACTTTGTAAATTATAAAAAAAATTATGTTTTTCTTGCTTTTATACGTTATTTCTAAATATTAGTAAAACCATTTATTAAATTTAGAAATGTTTGACCTACGTCGACAATCCCAAAAATTGTTTTCTATTATTGAGAAACCCATTTGTAAAAAGTTGAATTTCAAAAACTAATCTTTGAAAAAAATCCTTTCGAATATTCAGAAATAAGTAACGAGATATACTGACTCGAATTGTATTTTCATAATAATTATTTTATAAACTATGTAAACTGTTTGTGTTTAATTTTTAGGCTGCCACAGCCATAAATTCTAGAAATTTATTTTCTGAATAACATCGTGGCGCCATGGCGAGTTACTAAAATTGAGGGCGATTTTTTATGGGTGTAGTCGAGAGAGGAAATTCTTGGCCTATCATAAATTGTACACTTATTAGATATTAAAAACAAAACACAAAAAAAATGCTTGCTATTGCTGCTGACTCATTTGGTAGACAAGAAAATAAGATTTTCTTGAATACTTCTCAAGCGAATTCGTTCAAATTTTGTAGCTTAGCTATGTCTAGCTTTAATTTTTATAATATAATTTTCAATTCATTTTAAATTTTGTATTCCCAGTAGACTGCCTTTAATATAATATAATTTAAAAATAATATTAAATTTAAGTTTTATTTATTAAAACGTTTTTAAAAACTTTGAATTGTTTTTAGTCCACATTAAATAAGAATTAAAAACGAGCATTTAAAGACTTAATTAGTTTTCTTGACATCTTTTGTTATCGCAAATGAATCTACCGATAAGTGATGTTCGATATTAATATACATATATAATATATAAGCATAAACCGATTTTACCTGAACGAAGTGTATTATTTTGCACAGCAGGAGCGGTAGAGATCTGCTGCCTCGATTCATGGCCAGATTGAGGAGCGTGACTGGCGCCGAAATGCCCGTGACTAGCAGATCCGCAATGCACACGGCCAGCAGCAGGGGATTTCGCAAGCGCACCGACGAAGCCGAGCACAGGGTGAGCACCAATGTGGAGTTGCCCACAACGCCGCCGAAGACGACCAGGCCATAGCTGATGGCCAGCAGCAGAATGGTGAACGATGGAATCGCATGCTCTGTGTCCGCACCGGCACTATCGATACCATACGGATCGATCAGCGTAAAGTTTCCATAGTTATCGTAGTCAAAGTCTCGAATTGCAGTATCTCCGATAACTCCGCCTACGCCTACGCCTCCGGCTCCGAGCGCATTGCCGCCATCGCCCGCATAGTAGTTGTGCTCGAGGAGCGCATACTGAAGCTGTGTGGTATCGCTATCGTTATCGATATTGCTATCGACGGTGGCTGGCTGCTGCTGTTGCTGTCGTCGATATGTGTTTTCCCACCATTGCTGCAGGTTGTTGCTATTCATTCTTCAATCACACTCGTGTATTTCTAATGCTTGGCGCTGCCGATCGTTGTCGATGCGTTTGTCTGGCTGCCTCATCGCATACTAAAGGTGCTTGCTGCTGGTGCTGCATCGAAACAAATAAAAAAAAGAAAAAAATTTTAAAAATAAAATAAAAGAAGGTAGGAAGTAACAAAATGCCATCATCATCAGTCTTTCATACCCTGCACTCATTGCATGCTGGGCATGGTTAAACTCTTGCACACTTTGTAACAGTCTGATAATAGTAATAATATAATAGTAAATTGGAGAAGTTAATTCCTAAAAGCAAATTGCCCGAATAAGTGTGCTATGTTTTGTGCGTCGTAATCAGGGAATTTAAATAAATAAAAATAATATATCAACAATCTCAAGCATGCAATTTGTGAGATTGTTTAATATATACTAATATCTTTTATTAAGCTTTATTAATAAACTGTAGCTTGCAGCACTATAAAAACTATCAATAAATATTATTATGATTAAAGCATTTATTGCAAGGTATCGCTTAGACGAGCTATTGCTCGAGCATTCCATCTTGTTTTGTTTCAACAAGGACACACAAAGTGACAGCCACATGCACACACCCACACAGAAACACACACATATATATATGTATAAGAGCAGAGCCTCTGCCTGACACTGACACTTATGCAATGCGAACAGGGCGCACTCAGAGATTAGTGCTGCGCTTCCTTCCGCCGTGTCCCATTTTGCAGAGCCAAATGAATGGCAACCTTGCACTTTGCGCCCTCGACAAACAAACCGCAAGGTTTGGTGCACTACTCCCCACCACCGCCTCACTGCTCGTGACGGGCAGTGTTGTGGCGCTTAAGCGCCATCTAACGGAGTGGGCGAGCAAGCTGGAGGCTTAATTGCGTGTTAAAGAAAGTGTGTGGGAGAGTAAAAGAGCGAGTAGAAGTAGAAGTGAAATTTAAATGATGCTGCAATAAATGCAGGCAAGCTCTGGCTATTAAAAACTTTAATTGAAAACCTTATCAAAAGCGGTCGGACGAACGAGCGAACGACCAAACAAACCCAACTCATTAAGCGCGCCATCAAAAAGTCAATGCTAGGGTGACTCAAGATTTGACCACCACAAATGAACAGAATGTGTGCGCTGGCGGCGTGACTCACCCTCGTCTAGCAATGATTAAAAGGCAGTCAGTGCGTGTTTTTATGTGCGTCTGTGTTTGTGTGTGTGAACAAAAGCTCTGGCAGACAGCGCGCTTTGTTCAATATGTGTGTATGTGTGTGTGAGTGTGTGCGTGTGTGTTGCTTTTGCTTGCGTCAGTATCTGTGGTTGGCGTTGACTGCTGCTAGTGTGTATCAATTTTTGTTGGTGGTGTTGATATTCCAGCCGCCGCCATTGTTCTGCGCAATTTGTGTGTGCAGCATGTGTGATTGTATGCGGGTGTGTGTTAGTGTGCGTGTGTGCGGGTGTAAACGTCAACGCTTTTGCTTTTTGCTGTGTTTTTTGTTTCGGCGGCTCATTGTGCGGCGGCTGGATATGTGACTGACGTTTGCTTAATCTGCTTAATTTGCGTTAATTTAATCGTGGCCCAGCGAACACACTGCGTGTGTGTGACTGTGTGAGTATATATGTGTGTATGCTCAAGTATGGGCCACATTGTTGTCTGTGTCCTTTCACCAAAAGTCTTCTCTAAAGTGATGTCTATACAATAGCTTCATATATGTATGCATCTGTGTCTGTGTGTGTGTGTGTGTGTGTGTGTGTGTGTGTGTGTGTGTGTGTGTGCGTCGCCTTGTAAATAACCTGTTGTATTTGACATTGTAATCAGTTGTATTGATTGAATTAATTCTTACAAAATATGTGTGCTATTCTGTTTTACAATATAAAAATCCACAATATAAAAATCATTAACTTTATTTGATTATAAATATATTCTATATAATCTTTGTGTTCTGTATTATTTATTAGCTAATACCTAAAATGTATATTTGTGTATTGTTGTTAAGTCGAAAATGCATAAGAACTCATTTAACAAACCGATATATTAAAATAAAAATAAAAAAAACTGTTTATCTGAATTATTAAAATAAATAAATGGAAAATATAAATAAACATGTTGAAAAAAAGAATCTGTTCCGCTGATATATAAGTAGAAGAGTATACAAATTCGTTGAAAAGAAAGGAAACTGCTCCGCTCAATTCTGAAACTATATATATAAAATAAAAATTAATAAAAGTATAGAAACTTGTTGAAAATGAAACTGTTCCATTGAAATATAAAAAAAATAACTTTTTAAAACATATTATTGAATTGTTTGAAAAACGAAACAATTTTGCTCAACCATAAAATGAGCTCAAAAATCCAAATTTCAAATAAATCAAAGCAGACAAAATCGTAACTACCTAAAAATAGGATTGGCAACTCTGTAACGCAGGCGTTAAATTTTCTTATTGAAAGTCAAATGAAATCTATATTAATTTACGTCACTCAAACGTCGGCAGCAGGTCGACCAGCTACAAAAAAGGTGACAAAAGCGAATACAGCCCCCCCCCCCCACCCCCTCCCACGCTCATCCCCCTTCCACCTGATGGGGCAACAAAGAATGGACAAAAGTGAAGCCAATGAGATAAAATGGTATCTGGGTTCCGGTGGCGTATGCGTAATACACAAAAAGAGATGGATTCGATTGTTGTGATTGGCCTTGTAATATGAAAAACTGTCAGCCACAGGTGATTTAATAACAAGGCGCCTACGCATACACACACACATACACACACAAAAGCCGACTGGATACACACGCACACTCAGACGCACAGAGATCGTCCGCTGCTTTTGTCTGTGTGTGCTTATTGATTTGACAGCTAAGAATTTTTTGGGTGAATGTATTTGTGAGTGTCCAGGCGTCTTTTAGCTTCTTCGTGCCTTCCACAATACAATGTGTGTCTGTATGCGAGTGTGCGTGTGTGTGTTTGTGCGCTTACCGTTGTCTTTGTGCCTCTCTCTGTTAGCTTGGGCAAAAGAATAAGAAGAAGCAGCAGCATTAGCAGCAGCAGCGAACCTTTTTCGGGAATGGCAACTTGTGCAAAGTTCTGTGCCGAATAATGAAAAGTGCGTGGGCAGGGCAAAAGCAAAAGACACAGCACCCACACCGACACACACACCAACACCAACACACACGCATTTATACAGACGAAAACTCATATTGGCCATGTAAAAAACGACGCCATAATTACTAGCCATAAAAAAGCGTGGCGTGGCCAAAAAAAAAAAAAGAAGCGAAATAAGCTGAATAACAATTAGTGTTGTATCAGAAGGCGGCAACTCTCACACAAACACATACACACACACACACACACACACATAGAGGTATACGTAATAACTTACAGTTTTGTTGTTGCGCGCTTCATGAGTAATGGAAAAGCTAACAAATTTGTTTGCTGTTGCTGTTGATCCTGTTGTTGTTGTTGTTGTTATTGTGTAGCGACTGTTTCTTTTTTGTTGTTTACTTTATCGAAGGCACTGTAATTTACAGTTAGAGCTATTTTCCGTTTTTAAAAACTTTAGTTATTGCAGCGGGCGCGTCTTAATCGTTGTTGTTGTCGTTTTTGTTGTTTGTTGTTTGTTTTATATATATCAAATACACTTTTAGCAAATATTTTTACATTTTTATTTAATTATTTTTTTTCGTAGGTTTTTTTTTGTTTATAAAATTGTTTTAAAAAAGTTTGTTGTTTGGTGAACGGTAAAACAGTTGTATGCGTGTGTGTGTATGTTTGTGTGTGTGCGTGCGTGTGTGTTTGTGAGTGTAGGTGTGTGTGCGTGTGTGTGTGTGTGAGTGTGTGTGTTGGTAAAAAAAACTAAAATAAAACTCAGTGTGCGGCGTGCAAAAAGTGTTCCTCAATAGCGCACATTACACGAAAGGACTACGGCGGAAGACTGTCCTGTGTGACAGTGAAAATTGTGCTGAGGCCAAACAGCCAGCCAAACAGTCAAACAGCCGGAGAGCAGAGTTCGGAGTTAAAAGTCGCGAGAGACGCCGATAGGCGCCGAAATAAAAGAGCTTTCGAGTAAGAAAACGACAAAAGCTCGTTTCATGACTTTCGCTTTCATTCACTTGGCCAGGAGCCTGCTGGGAGACGAACTCAGAACTGCGGCGAGTTGAATGCAGACCAGACTATTTATAGAAACAAATATATAGATGCAAAAAGAAAACAAATTATAATTAAAGCCATATTAAGTCTTTTAGATAAATAATAGTACGGCGAGTTGAATGTTGACTATTTATAGAAGCAAACAAATAAAAATGAGAATTATTATCATATTAAATAATGCTTAACTGCAAATTTAATAAGTCTAGTTGAAAAAGAAAATTAATTAAAAAGATATCAGATTGTTTTTAATTTATACAAACAAATATATAGATTTAACAGAAAAAACTGAAATTATTGAGGCTTTAGATTTTTATTAAAAAAATTTCATATGCAAATTTTATGTTTAGCTGAACAAGAAAAAAAAGATTGTTTTTTCTGTCATTTATAGAAACAAATATATAGATTTAAAAACATAATACCTATAAAAATATTTTTAATATGCAAATTTAATAAGTTTAGCTGAAAAAGAAAAAAAGTCAAATATCAGATATATATGGCAAATTGAAATTAAATTAAAGATCCCAATTTTTGTATAAGAGCTGCTTTTAAAATTATACTTCCAAAAAGGAAATTTCCATAAGATAAGGTTCTATTTAGCAAGGATAACTTTTCTCATATGTTGTCCAATTTCTGTCTGGATCCCAAAACTAAAAAATGCACACACAATTTAAATACTAACATGTTTTCTCTTTATTTAAATATTTTTGTTGTATATGATTAAAATGCATGATGTACTTTAATAGTTGCATCTTGTATTGGATTTGCCATCCGTTGTATACTTTCAATTTGTATATATCTTTATATATGTAACTCATGCACTTAGTTATTACATTGTAGTTGTTTTGTGTTCTTTTTCTTGTTGCTTTAGATGAAATACTGTAAATAAATCGGTCTTAAGAAATTATAAATATAAGTATATTGGAATAGTTGCGTTAGACAAATTGTTTTTTTTTTTTAAGCCTAATCATGGGCGGCAATAAATTAAAGACAGCAAGAATTTTACAAAAAAAAGACTTCATAAATAAAAAATAAATTACGAAAACTAACTACCCAAGAAAATATGTATTGTAATCGTAATCGTAATCGTAATGCTGATAAATACACAAACGATATTTGAGATATGAGTGGTGGTTGTGAGTTTAGAGAATAGTAATTACTTTAAACTTATAGCATAAAATGTTTATGAATTATCCGTACTGTTTTTGTTTTGTTTTGTTTTCTTTTTTTCATTTAGTATAAGTAGCAGCAGAGTTTCGTTGATCAGTTCAAGTTTTTGTAGTATCTATGTATATATATAGAGCAGTATTATTGTTGGCAGCGGTATACTTAATGTTTGTTTGTTTTTTTCTTTCATTTTTTAATGTATATCTTCTTTCTTTTGTGTTGTTGCTTTTGTTTAATCTTCGATAGTATATTCTGGCATTTTCTCGTATTTCTGCTTGGTGGCCTCGTGAGTGGTGTCCACAAGCAGAGCCGTATGGGAATAGCCCATGCTGACCTGAGGTATTTTAATGCCATCCATTTTGGGTACCTCCTTGGGCACCGTCGACGACTTCTGGAACTCACCGATGCCCAGCTCACCAAAGGTGGGCGATGCGCCCCATGCAATCAGTGTGTCATCCGCCGATATCATAATTGAGGTATTGGCACAGCCAATTGCGGTTATATTCCAACCTGTGAGAAAAGACCACTCCAATTTAGTGGAATTCAATACGTATTAAATCTTTCTTACCTGCCAAATCCTGCACTGGCTTCGGATACATATTGGCCTCGCCCGTCTTCTTGTTCTGGCCAAACAAATAGAGCAGTCCCAGCTCGTTGATGATCAGACTGAAGGTGGAACCACAATAGATGCTGCGACCACCACGTCCCTGGGTATCAAAGAACTTCATCAGACGCGGCACCATCTCATCCTTGGGCTCAGCATGGCCCAGACGACCAAAGCCGCCAAAGCCCCAGCTATAAACACGTTTCTTCGAATCAATTGCGACCTGTTTGTGGGAGAGAGAGATTACAATTTTAATATATATAAATATTAAATATTGAATAGAGTTTATTACCGTGTGATTGTTGCCACATGCAAAGTCAACGATCTGAACACCATCGACCGGTGTCACATGGCCCTCCTTGCTCTTCTCGATGTAGAGCACAACCTTTTTGGGGGATGTCTCGAAGTGGAATGACAGCTTGTTGGCATTCACAAAGTACTTGGCATCCGTATTGTGGCCCAATTGGCCATATTCCGGCAAGCCGAACGTATGCAAATTGCCCTTAATATCGAGTATGACGGAGAACTCGGCACCGCAACCAATGCGAATGATGGGCGGACCACGATAATTGATCGGTGTGGGTGCAAATACATTGGGATGGGCATTGCCCACACCGCACTGTCCGGATTTATTCTCGCCGCAGGCGTACACGGTGCCCGTGTCGGTGAGGAAGAGCGTGTGATGACGTCCAGCGGCCGCTTGGACAATATTCAATTGCTCCAGGGCTGGTATCAGCGAGGGCTTCTCCACCAACTTGATGTCTGAGCTGAGGCCCAACTGTCCACTGGGATTGCGTCCGAAGCCGAGTGCCTTGCGATCCATATTGATGAGGATTGTGTGCGCTGAAGCGGGACCACTGGCCACAGAGCGATACTAAGGAGGGGAGAGAATCATTCAAATATGCTCCCAATTCCAACTAACTCCTTCGCTTACCTTCTCATCTGTGAAACGATGAAAGCTGAACAGATTTGGACGCACTTTTGTGACATTTTTGCGATCGCGCTTGCCCGTCAAATCCCAGGTGACCATACCCGCCAATAGCAGTTGACCCGGCGTCTTCTCCAGCGTGGCAAGTAAATCCTCTGGCAATTTGCTGGGCGGATCGAGATGATCATGAGGTATCAGCACCTCCATTTGACCAGCTGATTGCTGTTGCTGCTGTTGGGCGGCGGTGGCGACATCATCGTCCGATTCATCGCTGAACTCGTCCTCGTAGTCGGATTCCTTCTTTTTGGGACGACGCTTGGTGGGACCGGCCCCATTGCCACCTGCCTTGCGCTTAGCCGACATCTTTCTATTACCAGCAATGCCTCGCTCTCTCTCTCTCTCGCGCTGTCTCTCTCTCGCTGTCTCTGTCGCTCACTCTAGTTCTTTGTCTTGCCTCTCAGCAGCTGTAATAAAAGAGACCAACAACAATCGTTGAGAAGCATAACCAGAATTTGTACCCAGCAGAGCGTAGCGGTTTCCGCTAGTGCTGCGTGCGTGACACGACCTTGTACGCATTAATTGCATTAGGGTGTTGCACAAGAAATGAAACCGGTTCGTTTTCTAATTTTTAGTTAACACGTTTTCTATGGAAAAATGGAATTGCAAATTTTTATATTTATTTTCCAGTCAGTCACACTCATGGCGTGTTTTTGCGAATATCTGCACGAGCGCATCTCTAAGCGCAGCTCTCACACACGCTCTATGTGTGTGTTTGAGTGTGTGGTGGTTTTGCAAGCATGGAAAAACAAAATGAACGCCAACAAAGCCCGCTGCGATGCTAACACCGACTACGCGACTTTTGCAATTGCCCAAAATCAACAGAAATTGACCTTAAATCTAAATAAATGTTATTCAAACTGTCCGTAATTGTTTGGCGCCTAATGTTATTTATATATTATGACTACTTTAATTGAACAACGGCTTGAAATCAAATTTGAAATGTTGGCGTCACTTTTTCGAAAACACCTCAAACAAAGGCAACGCAGACAATGAGCCGCATTAGTTGCTCGAAATCGCGTTTATATATGCTAACGTAGGAATTAAATGGCTCACTGATTTGTATGGCAAAATTATGCAGAAACGACTTACTTTTTGAGTTTTACACTTAATAACTTTTTCGTTAAGCGTTCCCGTTTCTCGCGCAGCAAAAACAACAAAACCAAATTTAGCCAGAAGTACAAGTGTGTGCACACTTTGCCAAAGTAAAATGAGCTATAAAATACCGCCTCGACTCGATAGGGTTTTAATGTTATCGTACATTAGTGCGATGTTTGCTATCGATTGATGTATTGCGGCCCTGGGATATTTTGACAACAAATAAAAGAATTGGCTAGGAAATATATGGATAAAATGGACAGCGAAGACACAGAAACGACACATTATTACCTGGAATGCGAGGGCGGCGTCGAGGAATGGCACTGGAATCAGAAGAGCACCAAACTCCTCGTCGAACTCTATTCAGAGCGACGCCACAGATTCCGAGATCCAAAGACACGCAAACGGGCTCTGTGGACAGAAATTGTAGATGAGATGGAACGGGAAGGCTACAAGGGAATCAACGAAGATATCTGCGATCGCAAATGGCGTAACATGAAGAAGACATATCGCACCTGTCGCGAGACAATGAAGAAGAACGGACGTAAGCGAGTCGCCTGGGATTATTACGATACATTCGACGAAATGTTTCACAACGATAAATCATCCTCCTCCTCTTCAATGGCTGCCATCAAAGCCGAGAATAATGCAGTCGAGCCGCAGCAGCAGCTGGATATGTGTGCAACTGTGGACGCAACCCTGCTGGCAACGAAGCCAGATCTGTCTGTGAGCCAGGAGCAGCAGCGACAACTGCTAGTTCTGGAGCGCAGCAGAATCTCAGCCATAAAAGAGCTGAGCAAACGAATCGAGGAATCCAATGCAATCCAACGGGAAAGGAACGATCTACTGCGCGAATATCTCAATCAGTTCTAGTCATAGTCCTCACTAATTAAATATATATCTATCTGTATGAATCAGATAATCAAATGTATAGCTCTTCAATGATTATTTTTTAAATTTTAGAAAAATATCGAAACGAACTCTAGCGATGAGTTACATTGTGAATATGCTGATGCTAAACAAAGGACTCAGTGGACTGTTGTCATAAATAGATTAATCGAACGATCTGCTGCCCGAATATCTCGATTCTAGTTATAACCCTAACCAATTAAATATATATCTGCATGTATATAAACAATTAGAAATTAAAATGTACATATATTCAATGCTGTTTATTTTCGAATTTAAAAATTTTTTAAATTGTAGAAAATATAGCTTTTATAAAACTCTGAACGAGCTTGTCAGCAATTTTAGATGTAAATTATCTATTATAAAACCAGAAATTAAAATGTGAAGAGATACACAAAGATGGAATTTAAAGTAAGACAAATATAGCATTGGAAATACATCAACTCTAGCTGTAATTTAACTCTTCAGTTTTTGTATATATAGCTTAAAGGGTCTTTCGTGTATATTTGTAACATTATTGGAAATCGAACATAAATATAAATAGATTTAAATTTCATTTAGCACAAAGTGAACAGATACAATAAAAATATAGGTTCACTTAGAATTGTATTAAAGGTTGTTTTTGACCCTGGCGATAAGCTTCGATATCTGTCATAATGATTTTCCGATGGAGTTCGTGATTGATTTTAAACTCCTCCGAGGCATTTGGCCTTTTTTTCTTATCGTTGCTGTTGTTGTTGTTGCTGATCGCTAATACTCTGGTTGCTGCTATCGGTGTATCACTGTAGAAGATCGCGTGCGCTGCTCCTGGCTGAGGCTGAGGCTGCGACTGAGGCTGTGGTTGTTGTGGACGTCTCTGCATTTTGGGCGTTGTTTGCGGACTTGTGTTGTTATTGCCTGCAAGTGGAAATAGTAACGGTTTATTGCCTTCTCTTATATTTGTGCAGCACATTTTCTCAATGATCAGCTGCAATAACGGCATTGCGAACGAGAAGAACAAAAGCAATTGCGATAAGCTCGGCACTCTGTGCAGGCAGCGACGCTACTGAGAAATATGTTTGGTTGTCGCTTGCTTATCTGCACTTAAATACCCTCACCTAGAAACACGGCATGCTGCTCTAGGTGAAAAAGCCGCAGTTGCGCAGATTATAACTGAGCTTTTTTTATGGGGGTAATTCTTTCATTTTGTTTTGCAAAAAAGACTGAACGGTACTTCGGAGAGGTTCAATTTCGAATCTAGCCGAGCAGAAAAAACAAAAGTTAAAATGTAGTCGTGCACAACTCTAATTGTAAGAGATAGGATTTAGTTGGATTTACCCATGCCCACCTCTAATTATAAGAGTTTAATATGTGAATCGAATACTTCTCCTAAAAAGCTTTTCCGTTTACCAAGATATCTAAACCAAACTAATTAGCTAAGTAATTATCAATTACTTTCGGACTATTTATACCTATCTATCTAGAATATCAACATATAACATGTAAACAACTTTCGCAAGGGTATCTAAATTTCGGTGTGCCAAAAACCACTTTTCACTTTTCTTGTCAAAACTTCGCTTGCTATGGTAAACTGCGAAAGCAGCTGTTGTTGCTGACGTCACTCACCTGAGTAGGATCGCTCCTGCTGCAGTTGCGCTTTAGCGTTGCTGGAGCCAAAGTAGCCTGCCACAAAAGGCATGGGCGACATGATGACACCGTTGCGCAACCCCGGGGCACAATCAGGTGGCGGTGGCGCAGGACGATTAAAAGGATTCTGACGCCGGGGTGGCGGACGTGGCTTATCCACCAGTGCATCCGTCGGATCAGTGCGCATCTCTGCAAGAAAAACATTTCAATTGTTGAGCATTTTATGCAGGTGGTTTTCTCGCTTAGTTCAGCGCCTACTGTTCCTGGAGTCCTCGATCTCCTGGAGCTGTCGCTGCAGCTCCGCGACAATAATCCGCTTGTATTCGTAGCCGGCGCAAGTCAGCGCCTTCATCCACGCCTCCATGCTGTCGTGGGTGTCGGCAGCCAGGATATAGGTGCGATTCCCATTGAAGGCGATCTCGAAGCAATAGTTGTCCACATCCGATTCCAGGGAGAGCTCAATTGTGCATCCCTCGACGACAATTAAGCCCAATGGCTCCTTGTCCAGTCGCGTCTCGAAATAGAACAGCAAATTGCCTTTGAGCACAAAATAGCGTCTTTGAAATGACTTGTTGACTACGCCGCGTTTGTTGAGAAAACCTGCGACATTAATTACCATTATCATTATGATTAATCATAGATAAATATATAAAATATTGCCTATTTAAAAATTGAAAACTAACCTTCCATGTCGAACGGCGGCGATCGGGCAAAGACGCACAGGTTCTTTTCGTTGATTTTCATTGTGATAAAATTAATGTTTGTCTATTCCAAAAAATCATTAATAATGCGCTTTTGTTTGCATTAATTTTGTATTTACATATCTATTTACATAGAAGCGTACATTAATATATAAGCCCAAGCAGAACAGCTGTTTGTTGTCATCGAACAATGTTGCCACACCTAATTTAAATGTAAACTATCGCAACGAATTCTAGAGATGTCATATTTTTTTATTTTCTTTTCTATTGAACAGATGTATTTCATATTATTACATTTATTGATTTGTCCGAGAAAATGCGAGTAGGTATTTTTAATTTGTATTGACCAGAGAAGGAGTTTAGCTATCTTAAAGTGATCCACAATCAGCGATCACGATCTTCTTTGTGGTCTTCCCCGACTGCGAACCGTAAGATTCGATTTGCTTGACAACATCCAAGCCTTCAACAATTTCGCCAAACACAACGTGTTTGTTATCCAACCAAGAGGTCTTCACGGTGCAAATGAAGAATTGCGATCCGTTGGTGTTGGGGCCAGCATTTGCCATTGACAGAATGCCGGCGCCGGTGTGCTTCAGGCGGAAGTTCTCATCGGGGAACTTGTTGCCGTAGATCGACTTGCCGCCAGTGCCGTTGTGATTGGTGAAATCGCCACCCTGGCACATAAAGTTTGGAATGACGCGATGGAAACTGGAGTCCTTAAAGCCAAAGCCCTTCTCGCCGGTGCACAGAGCACGGAAATTCTCCGCCGTCTTGGGCACAACATCAGAGCGCAGCTCCATAATTATCCTACCGACGGGCTGGTTGTCGGCGGTCATGTCGAAGAATACTCTGGGTAAAGTGCTCATTTTCGATCCGTTTGAATATTTGCGAACAAATTAAATGTGCGAATATGCTAATGTAGAAAAAGGACTCAGGTTGACTGTAGTGTTATTAGGAGATTAATCGATTCATCGATTTCATCATTATAGAGAAGTATGTGTATAAAACTACCGAAACGAAATCTAGAGATGAGTCATATTGCACCCTTTTTCGTTTGCTAAAAAAGCACTCGATTGGCTGTGGCATCATTAATAGATTAATCGATTCGGCACAAAGCTCTAGGGATAGTTGTCGATTGCTCAGCTCGCAATATCACTCGCTAAAATGTCTTATATAGTGACTGAAGTTGCGTTGTTAATGTTGGGATATACGTTTTTCGATATAAATGGCAATTCTCAACCTCTCGAATTCGAAGAATCGATCTCATCTGACCAGGATTTCACTGAACCGCCTTCGGAAACGGAGCCCGAGAATAACGGCAACGAACAGCAGGATGCAAAAGCAACATCGAAAGAACAATGACTTTAACAACGTTCTGGACAAATTAATTTAAAAATGGATATAAAATATCGCTAAAATCACAAAACCAATCAAATAATAAATAAAAACAAACATAGTAACCTATATTTTGGCATTTTACTCATTTCGACACGGTGTGCTTTTAAATTGAATAATCGGAGGCGATTACTGAATTTCGATAAATTCGCGCATATGCAAAATGTGACCGTTTTGGGGTTATTCAACTAACGACAGACTAAATATGAGTACGAGTACTCAGAGTGAAGTATCGATATTAGTCACTCTACTCGCAGAACACCTGAGTAAAGGTCGGTTCGACAGAAATATTCCATTTTTATCTCAAAATTTTGCTCGTCAAACGTGCTCAAAACGCATATACAACTATTTATTTATTTTCTATCCCGTTTCGTTGCCCCAACGATACAAAACAGGCTGCTTAGAGTCGCGCGCCCGCCTTGCGAAATAGACGATACTAAAGACACGAGAGAGGAATTTTTCGCAATCGACGCAACGCTTGCATAATGAAAATCTGGACATCTGAGCATACGTTCAACCATCCGTGGGAGACGGTCACACAGGCGGCGTGGCGTAAATATCCGAATCCGATGACGCCCTCCATCATCGGAACCGATGTCGTCGAGCGACGCGTCGTCGACGGCGTCCTTCACACACATCGACTGGTGCAATCCAAATGGTATTTTCCAAAGTGGACGCATGCTTTAATTGGCACAGCCAAAACCTGCTTTGCTAGTGAACGCTCCACGGTCGATCCGCAACGGAAGCAGATGGTGTTGAAGACAAACAATTTGACCTTTTGTCGCAACATTAGCGTCGACGAGGTTCTCTACTATGAGTCCCATCCAGCTGATTCGAGTAAGACGCTACTCAAACAGGAGGCAACTGTAACGGTTTATGGTGTGCCGTTATCCCACTATATGGAAGACATACTTACCTCGTCGATCAGCTCGAATGCGGGCAAGGGACGGCAGGGCCTCGAATGGGTAATCGGACTGATCAACACCGAGGTGAAGAGCATCGCCGATTCGGCGGCACGTGGCACAGATGAATTGATACACAGCACAAGGCGTTCCATCGATGAGGTCACCGAATCAGCCAGAAAAAGCATGGACGAGTTGAGTGCGCAGGCATCGAAAGCGGCGAAAGCAATGCACATTACGTAGGGCGGGGGCAACACTGGCCAGAGGCTGTGTCTGTGTGTGTTTTGGTGTGTGTGTGTGTTAGGTCAGCAAGTGAATTAAAATATTTGAGAGGAGCACGACGAACGCGAACCATAACAACAATAATATCCAATTTGAATACTTCTGTTGAAAATAGCGCAACAAATCGTTCGATATATATATATTATATATTTTATAAGGTGTAACAAAAACAGCAAATACTGAAACTTTCCTATGGTTATCAGTCAAAAGCTGCGCGTGTTTGATAGGGTCACACTCCAACGTACAAAGCCTTTAGGCGGCAAGGCAACAACAACTGCAACGGAAGCGAGTGCAGCAGTATCGTAGCAACAAATTATTTATTTATAAATAAAACCAAAAAACATAGTTTTTAATATGCAACAAATTGTAAAAGAAAAGAAACGAGAAAAAAATCTAAATAAACAAGCGGGCATTAAATAAACCAGAAATTGCTCAATTATCGAATTATTTTGTTTGGTTACTGCGTATTTAGTTTGTCTGCCAACTATTGTTGATGACCCCTAAATGATTTAAACACATGAATATATTTAAAAATAAAACCAAGAAGTATATAATGCAACTGTTAATGTTTGCGCAACACGCTTTGATCGCGTCTTTATTTCCTGGCAATTTTGTTTTATAGCTTTCCGTGACGTATCCAGCGGTTTGTTTCTGTTGCCATACGAGATTGGCGGCTACGTCACATGACAACAAGTGAGCTGAGAGCTTTTTGTCTCTATAGCGATGAGCGCGTGACATTGCCAGCAGCAAATGTACATCTGTACGTGTGTATGTAAGCATATACAGGTAGTTTTGAAATTATACATGTACAAATGTAGTAAATTCGTATTTTTCCCACGCCTTTCTAAATTATTGTATACATTTCGACATATGATTTAAAAAATACCGAATAATTTAAAAATATTGTGTATTATTTATTGTGCTTATTGAAATGTAGATATAACATGTTGGTTTATTATAGTTAAAAACATAAAATTGCATATAAAATTGCAATACTATAAATGCTTTTGTATGTCAACAATTTATTCCCAAACACAATATAAATGAGTATATACACTTTTCTGATAAAATACAGTGTAGCGCACTTTCAATAAAACAGCTGTTTAAAGCTTGGCAGCCCCCGCTTCCAATTCGGTGCTGCCAAAACGTGCGCGGCATTCTCAGTCTCAGTTTCTCTCTCGCCATTAGTCTCTCACTCTGTCTCTTGTGTTCTCCTATGCACGTGCACGTACCGCTTACTGTAATCCAATTCGGGTTAGTTATTTATTATTAGTTTTGGCAATAAATACTAAGTATCATGTTATTTGCAACAAATATGTTTACGCTTTCGCTGTTTTATCAGCGCGTTCCAGCAACCGTGAAAATAAAATGAAAACAAGCCAGTGACGCCAGTGCAACATATCAACGATTGCATTGCCATTTGCCGCCGTCTGTTGTAATTTGATGCGCTGAAAAGCTGATCTGTGCTTGATAACCTTTCCAACGTGGTCGTCGCTGCTGCTGGCTGCTCCAGTTGCCAACGACTTCGACAGCGTCGCTAGATTACAGCGCTCAGTCTGCCCGCAAAGCGTGTAAGGAACGCACGTTCAAAATCCGACTTGCAAACTTTTAAGAAAAGATCAAAAGAACGTTGTAAAGATTTAAACCCCTCTATTTGAATACCAGACATTAACAGGTGGGCGAAAATGGAAGTGGGCTTGTCTACAGTATTTATATTCGCGCTAGCCAAGCAGTGATCTGTGAAATAAGTGAAATGAATTCAGTGACTCTCAAACTGCATCCAAATGGTGGCTTTAAAACTGTGTAAATTAACTTGAACTTATTTTCAGTGAACTATGTGCAAATTGATTGGAAAGTGAGATTTCAACATTGTATTGAAATGATTTGCAAAAATAAATAAATAAAATGTACAAATAATAATCTACTTGATTTGCCAATTGTGGAAACTTCATCAACAAAGCTACAAAATTATTATATGCAGTGCTTTCAGTCCTCTAAATATTTATACTTAATTCCAATCTTTAAATATTAAAAAGATAAAAATAATCTTTAAAAGTTGATCAACTAGTCTGCAATTGCATACAAGATGTAATTCCAATTATTAAAGATATATCTGCGATATTTACACTTCTTCTTTCCTCGCCTCCTGCTTAGTTAACCAACTGAGAGATGGGCATTCTGCGATATTACGATGTGGCCGCATTCGATGCTGAGGAGGAGCAGCGTCTGCTGCAGCGTCTGCAGGCAGTTGATCCGCAGCTGGTGTCCGTTAGACTGGAGCGTTGCTATCACCTGGAGTACGACAATCGGAGCAGTGGCAGTGGCAGTGGCCAACATCCTTTGCCACTGGTTGAGTTGATGTGTTGGCTGGTTAAGCAACCACTTCAGGCGGAGCAATCTCTTAGCAAGCGGGCAGCTCTGCAGCTGAAGGATGAGCGCACTCAATTGCTGGTGGAGATTGGGCCACGTTTCAATTTCTCGACGCCGTACTCCACGAACTGTGTGAACATCTTTCAGAATCTTGGCTACAAGGAGGTGCGACGCATGGAATGCTCCACAATTTATTTGCTGACATTTGCCCAGGCGGCGGCGACACGTGAATTATCCCGTTATGTGTCAGTGCTCGGGGATCGGATGACGCAGTGCATCTATACGGAGAGTAATATGCCGCGTGATAGTTTCGATGAGCAGCTGCCGGCCGAGCAAGCCGCCTGGAGCTATGTGCCCGTGCTGGAACAGGGACGTCCGGCGCTGGAGGAGATCAATCGGGAGCTGGGCTTGGCGTTCACCGACTACGATTTGGATTACTATGCGGAGCTGTTTGGCCAGACGCTGAAGCGAAATCCGACCACTGTGGAACTCTTCGATTGTGCGCAGAGCAACAGTGAGCACTCCCGCCACTGGTTCTTCCGCGGACGCATGCTGCACGCGGGCAAGGAGCTGCCGCGCACACTGATTCAGCTCATCATGGACACGCAGAGCAATACGAATCCCAATAATACGATTAAATTCAGTGATAATAGTAGCGCCATTGTGGGCTTCACGCATGATGCACTGCAGCCGCTGGAGATTGGCGTGCCGGGTGCTGTTCAAGTGCAGCGCATTGAATCCGATTTGATATTCACGGCGGAGACGCACAATATGCCCACGGCTGTGGCACCCTTCAGTGGCGCCACCACCGGCACTGGTGGTCGGCTGCGCGATGTTCAGGGTGTGGGTCGGGGTGGATTACCCATTGCCGGCACCGCCGGCTACTGTGTGGGTGCTCTCCACATTCCGGGCTACAGTCAGCCCTATGAACCCAAGGGAATGAAGTATCCCGGCTCGTTTGCCCCGCCGCTGCAGGTGCTGATCGAGGCGAGCAATGGTGCCTCGGACTATGGCAATAAATTTGGTGAGCCGCTCATCGCTGGCTTTGCCATATCGTATGGTCTGCAGAATGCGGCTGCACCCCAGATCCGGGAGGAGTACGTCAAGCCCATCATGTTCAGTGGTGGACTGGGCACCATGCCCGCCTCCATGCGCCACAAACTGACGCCGGAGCGAGGCCAGCTGCTGGCGAAGATTGGCGGGCCAGTTTATCGCATTGGCGTTGGCGGCGGCGCCGCTAGCTCCGTGGAGGTTCAGGGCTCCGGCGATGCTGAACTCGACTTTAATGCCGTGCAGCGTGGCGATCCGGAGATGGAGAATAAATTGAATCGCGTGGTTCGCGCCTGCATTGAGCTGGGCCCCCGTAATCCCATCCTGGCCATACACGATCAGGGCGCGGGTGGCAATGGGAATGTGTTGAAGGAACTTGTCGAACCGGGCTTTGCGGGCGCCATCATCTTCAGCGGTGAATTCAAGTTGGGCGATCCCACAATCACCGCCCTGGAGCTGTGGGGCGCCGAGTACCAGGAGAACAATGCGATTCTCTGCAAGCCAGAGGATCGAGAGTTGCTCGAACGGATCTGTGCACGCGAACGTTGCCCCATTAGCTTTGTGGGCGTGGTCACTGGCGATGGCCGGGTCACACTGGTGGAGCAGGCGGCTCCCACCGATCTGCAGCAAGCTCTGCTGCCCGAGGTGCGCAAAAGTTTTGGAGCCACGCCTTTTGATCTGGAGTTGTCGTATGTGCTGGGCGATATGCCCAAGCGCACCTACGATCTCGCCGAAATACCCATTCCACGCCAGTTGCTTCAGCTGCCCCAGAATATGCTGGTTGCGGATGCACTGCAGCGCGTCCTGAGCATTGTCGCCGTGGGCAGCAAACGCTTCCTGACCAACAAAGTGGATCGCTGTGTCGGCGGCCTCATTGCCCAGCAGCAGTGTGTGGGCCCCCTTCAGGCGCCCTTATCGGATTACGCACTGACCACCGTCTCACATTTCAGCACGGCCGGCATTGCCACTTCCATTGGCACGCAGCCCATCATGGGTGAGTCTTTGCCACACAAATATATTTATTTGTTAAATTAAGTCTACTTATTTGAAATAGAAAATATTAGTAAATAATAACTTAAAATATATTTGTATATATTTTAACTAATTTGCTGTTAAATTTTACTGTACAGGTCTCATTAGTCCAGTGCACATGGCGCACATGTGCGTGGCCGAGGCGCTGAGTAATCTGGTCTTTGTGAAGATCAGCGAGATGGCGGACATCAAGTGCTCGGGCAATTGGATGTGGGCGGCCAAGTTGCCCGGCGAGGGCTACAAAATGTACCAGGCTTGTCTGGCGCTGAGCAAGGTGCTGCAGGAGTTGCGCATTGGTATTGACGGCGGCAAGGATTCGCTGTCGATGGCCGCCAAAGTGGATGGCGAAGTCATCAAATCACCGGGCACCCTTGTCCTGTCCACCTATGCGCCGTGTCCGGATGTGCGTGTACGAATTACGCCCGATCTCAAGGGTCCGGCATGTGGCGGCAAGGAGACCGCTTTGCTTTGGATCAATATTGAGAGATGTGCACGTCTTGGTGGATCGGCACTGGCCCAGGCCTACTCGCAGCAGGGCGAATCGACGCCCAACATGCTGCAGACTCAAGTGCTGACCAAGGCTTTTGAGGTGACTCAAACGCTGCTGGGCGAGAAACTATTGCTGGCCGGACACGATGTCAGCGATGGCGGTTTGATTGTTTGTCTGCTGGAGATGGCAATCGGTGGACTAAGTGGACTCCAGCTGGACATCGGGGAGGCAACAGCGGGCGTTTCCAGCTACGATGCAGTCAGCGACAAGATTGGCAACGACACCTGTCTGCTGTTCAGCGAGGAATGTGGCTGGGTGCTGGAGGTGGAAGTATCCCAACTGGAATTGGTTCGCTCTCGATTCAAGCAGGCTGGCGTACCCAACTATTATCTGGGCAAGACTCGCGGCTATGGTTTGGCCAACTCACGTGTGATCATCCAAAATGGCAGCAAAACGCTGCTTGATGAACCGTTGCTCGAACTGTACCAGCAATGGGAGCGCACCAGCTACGAGCTGGAGAAGCTCCAGGCAAATGTCGTCTGTGTCCAATCCGAATACGATAGCCTTAACTATCGCCAAGCGCCACAATATAAGGCACCTGCCAATCTGCATGCGGAGCTTACCCTGAAGCGCTGTGTTCAACCCATTCGGGTGGCTGTGCTCCGCGAGGAGGGCGTCAACAGCGAGCGCGAAATGATGGCCAGTCTTCTGAGGGCCAACTTTGAGGTGCACGATGTGACCATGTCGGATCTGCTCGCAGGTAAGCCACATAAAAGCACTCCAAACTAACAATTGGAGCACGCCTGATTATAAGTTTAATTCAAATACTTTTCAGGCACCACCAGCTTGTCGCAGTATCGTGGCTTGGTCTTTCCAGGCGGATTCAGCTATGCGGACACCTTGGGCTCCGCCAAGGGCTGGGCAGCGAACATTCTGCACAGCTCCGTGCTGCAGCCCCAATTTGAAGCATTCAAAAGGCGTACGGATGTCTTCTCGCTGGGCATTTGCAATGGCTGCCAGCTGATGACGCTGATTGGCTTCGTGGGCAGCACAACAGTCGCAAATCCCGCTAATCCCGAGGTGGCTCTGTTGCACAATCTGTCGCAGCGCTTTGAATGCCGCTGGTCAACAGTAAGGATACCGCCCAATCGGTCCATCATGCTGAGCAACATGCACGACCTGGTCCTGGGCTGCTGGGTGGCTCATGGCGAGGGACGATTCGCGTTCCGGCGCGAGGAGTTGTTGAGTCAGTTGCACAAGGAGCAACTGGTGACGCTGCAGTATGTGAATGATGAGGGCGTGCCCACCACCACCTATCCCATGAATCCCAATGGCAGTCCCCAGGGCATCGCTGGCCTCTGTTCGCCGGATGGCCGTCATTTGGCCCTGATGCCGCATCCCGAGCGCTGCAGCGCCATGTATCAGTGGCCCTATGTGCCGCCGGGCTTTGCAGTCGACGCAGGCACCCAGATGGAGAGTCCTTGGCAGCTGATGTTCAACAACGCCTACAATTGGTGTGCACAACTACTGGACTAATATAGACCGACATTCCAATTATTCTTCATTCTACTCTATTATTGACATTTATTCTCATTACTTTTCTACTTGCCATTTTATATTGTATGCAATATTTAAATATTAAATAAACACACATAATTATCTCTAAAATTTTATAATTATTTTGGTAAGGCAAGTTCAGCCAAGTTAAAAGACTTGGTACCAATTCTTTTATCCGTTCTCCCTAAAGAGTTGTTCTATATATCTCAAACCATCAAAATCTGCCCATAGTGTATAAATTCTTGATCAAGCTTAAGCAAAAACTGAACTTAAGCCTATGCAGATTTAACACGAATTGATCCAAGACGCCCAGAAAACACTCGAACCTATACGGCATAATAATTAAATAATCAAAGAGTATCTACTAGTTGTGATTTCTTAATTGTCAAATAGTTGCACAGTGATTATTTGCATTCATTCGTATTTGTGAATATATTTACATTACTTATGTACATTTCATTCAAATCATAAGAAGTATTTTATCTGTTAAAACTCAGCAAATTATTGTGCAGTCAAGTTGCTCGTAGGCTGTATCTGACTAGTCATATGTACATAGATAGATATATATTTACTAACTTACTAACAAATTCAACAACTTCACTTTAAATTGAACTTACATCTAAGAACAAGTTAAATTAATTTCTGGAAGACTAGTGTGATATTTGCAGCAGACATTTCAAGTAGTTGGCTTTTGCGCCCGGCGCTTGCAGATACTTGGAGTTCCAGTCATGCTCGTTGATGTGCAGCACCTTGTAGCCCATCATTTCCAGATGCTTGATCTTTAGCGATTCGGGTCCACGCAGCGCAGTCAAATCGTTCTCACAAAATGAGTCCAGCTTCAGCAGCAAAATGGCTACCCTGAAAATAGAGTTAATAATATTAAATTTCGAAATATTCTTTATTTAATATCACTACAAATGTGTACTTGGTTATGCGATCCAGCATGGTGGCCTCCACTGGCGGTGCTGGCATCGGTTTCTTATCCTTATCAAAGTGTATCACAAAGTCAATATTATAGCCATATGGCGTTGTGTGATTGCAGCGAAAGTAGTTCTCATCCTTGAGCAGGTCCTGCAGCAAAAGTTTCACATCTGTGCTGAAAGCGGTGGCCAAATGGGGTTCTACAATAAAATGCTGGTTAACAATAATATATAATCATAATAAAAAATGATCCTACTCTTGCTGAGCTGCGCTTCCACGTAGTTCTGCTGGAACCAGGGCACATTCGTCTCAGGCATATCGAGGCAAACGGTGCGATTCAGCTGCATCACACGATTCAGCACCAGGCCGGGATAGGTTGCCTTAGAGTAGCAGATTTGTATCTCATCCTCGATGCGTTGTATAAACTTGACGCAGAACACCTGATTGATTAGCTCCTCCGGAATGGTCTTATAGAAGCACAGCGCCAGGCACGACTGCACCAAAGATAACCCGCTCATATGATCAAAGTCACTGTGAGAGAATATCACTTAAAATGGGCACTGTATTCGTGGGCAATAAGTGGACCTACCGGAGTAGCACTGAAGCTGCATAGTCCAATGGCTCCAGCGATGCTGGAGTATAGCCCAGATTGTAGGCACAGGTTAGCACCTTCTCGACGGTGTCGCCGGTGATGTGTTCATGCTGCTGTGCCACATAGTCGAACATCGACTCCAACAGTTCCGGCACAAAGAAATGCGACGCATTGAAATTATATGCCATATCGCGCACAACTCGAGAGTTGAGATCCTTGCATTGCAGACTTTTATAATGCGCCAGCGCCTGGCTATAAGCCTGCGTGTTTTTCAGTGCTGCAAAGATTTCACAAATATTCCAAAAATTAATGATAAAAATAATAACAAAAATAATTCAAACTCACTTTTCCGATGACTTAGCGTGCGCACAATGAGGCTTAGATCGCTGGCGTTGAGGGGCTGCTGCTGCTCGTCGCTGGTGCTGCTGCTGTTGAGATGCCTCTCGGCACACGAGATCAGTATGCTGTCCATTGTGGACAGTTGCATGGCCAGCAGATGCGGCACATGCTGGCGAAAGCGCAGCTCGCTGGCGATCTGCATGCCGCGACTCAGCTGGAAGCAATCCTGGATGTCAAATTGTGGCGCCATGGCGAGCATTTTACTAAGCAGCATATTGGGAAACTTCTTCCAGTCGAACGGTGTTTGACCGTAGGCCATGACAAACGCAGCGAGGCGTGCAAACTTGGATGGCAATCGGCCGGCGACATCCAGCTCGATGGTCTCCATACAGATACGACTGAGTCGGCGCTCCAGCAGCTGATGACGATACGTGCCGCCCAGATTGTTGTTGAAGTTCATGTAGCGCTGGCAATGGCGCAGAAAGCGCAGATGCGACTGCTCCTTGACGGTGGCATCCAATTCCTTAATCACAGCCGACCAATAAACATTGCAATAGCGCAAATCGGCTACCTTCAGAGATCGCAGCACGCTAAAGAAATGTCCACTCGCATTGGGCAGCTGCCAGGCAGACTTGGACTGGAGCAGCGTACGAAATTGTTGCATGTACGCATCCCGCTGCTGCAGTGCCGCAAACGGCACCGCACAGGAAAGTGAATCCGGTGTGTGTTCTCGTTCCAGCAGCGCTTCCGTGGCGATCTTTAGTGGCTGGACGAGAGACGCCGGCTCCTGATGATGCAGAAAGGTGCGACAAACGCTCCTCAAATCGCTGGGCTCCAGTTGGGGCAGGCAGCTGCTGAGGGCCAACATCAGTTGCCTGATCAGCGCCGTATTGAGATGCGACCATTTGGGCAAATTGAGCATGTGCAGCAGCTTAACCAGTGCCTTTGGCGTTGTGCTGCCTAAAGTGCCGCATTGGAGCAGCTCCTGTATCCGCTGCTTGTACACATCCAGTAATTGGGCATCAATTAGTGGATTCAGTTGAAAGAGGCATGTGGAGAGCAGACGCGCCTCCTGTTCACTGTCGCAGTTGGCCACATGCCGCTCCAGATGTGGCACGAAATTGCGGCACACGAGCGGCGTAAAGAAATCGCGCTCGATATTGATGGCCACCAGCAGACGAGAGAGCGCCGGCAACGGCACCAGCTCCACATCTTCATCAACCATTTTCAGAGCACGTGAGAGTAATTGCTCCACCTTGGCATTACTGTTGGGCACATGCATTTTACGCAGATACAAATAGGAGCAGCTCAACTCGTTCACATCCATATGCTCGATGTGCGGCGACAAAGTGGGCAGCAGCTCCTTTTGAAGTCGCCGCGTCAACGCTTCCTTCTGCATGTCTGACGTTAGGCCTTGCTGATAGTGGGTCCACAGCACTGAAATGCACTGAACTTGATGTGCTGGATCGAACTGCTCCTGTTCCATTAACTCGAACAACTCCTGGACACTTGTTGCTGAACCAATTCGCAAACTGAGCTCATCCTCCAATTTGATGGCCTCACAGCCGTCCAGCTCGCCCATGGAGCTGACTATCTGTTGTTGCTGCTCAGCTGAGCTCTGGTCGCTACTATAGGAACGTAACACACTCTGATTGAGTTTAAATAGTTGCTGCTGTCTGCTCCTCATCGGCCGAGGAACTGCTTCTTTAATGGGCGGCTTGGCGCCTATTTTTACGTGACGGCGCAGCAGCTGCAATTGACGTGTCTGCAGTAAATATTGCATGTATTTGCATGGTGTGCGTGGCAAGCAGTTTAGATACATGTCCACCAGGGCAACTTCAATAGACAAAAGTTGTTAAATAATAAACAATTAGCGACTTTTTAAAAACTGAACGCGAAGACCAAACAGGTGAGCGCAAGAGGGTGCTGCCAACTCGTGTTCGGTTTGGCTCATGAATGGGAAGACAGCTGAGCGCAAAGCAACAGCTGAGCGTGACAGGGTGCTTCCAGCCTGTGTTCGGTTCATGAACTTGGAATTAGTGTTCATGGCTCCTAATGGCTCTGGTTTATTTTTGGCGCGTTCCAATATTTAACATAGCTTTTATTTGTAATAATATATAATTGGGTATTCTTTCTTCGGCATATAACTTAACTTATTACAATGTTTTCAGAATGTGAAAGGCCAATGTCCCTTGTAGCTAATGCATTCTGTAAGCTCAACTAGTTGTTGCGAGCACAATAAAAGTGCGCAACAATCGTTGCACTGAGCATATAACAAATACTGCCAAAATCCGCATGCGTGAGTTTTATCAAACACGCAAGAGCTTTCGGTTCCAAATACTCAAATGACGTTTACTGTGGGCCCAAAAGCCAAACTACAGTAAATCGCAATCGCATTTGGATTCACTTAACAATATATTGATGCCAATAGCTAACTAAAATTGAAAAAATGAGTCTACCGACTGCTTTTAGCTTTTTCATTTTGAAAGAAGTGGACGTCATGCAAAATTGCGGCTCAAATTCATAATCTATTATTTATTTATTTATGCACACATTTTGCCTTGCTCACATTCCACTGTGCACCTTTTGAGAGCTTTCAACGCAATGAATTTGTGTGTAGCTTTTACGCAGGGGCCTGGTTTAGAGTATACATACATATTGCAGCCCTGAATCAGCTGGGAGTCGTCTTTCGAATTTGTATTCGCTGCCCGAAAACAAAGAAGTCAACATTTTTGAATGTAGCCCACAATTGTGAAATCAAAATTAATGATGTCACTGGCGCACAATCAGGTGATCGCCCTCCAGGTGGGCTACTCCTACAAGGATGCCAGCGACCCCACAGCCATGCGGGCCAATTGCAGTTGTACATTGATCCGCTGTCGCGATGGCACCAATATAATCGTGGACACCCTGACCGCCTGGGATGGAGAGCACTTGAAATCGCTGCTGGCTGCTCAGGGCCTGGAAGTGAATGATATTAATGTGGTTGTCTGCACACACGCCCACACAGATCACACTGGGTGCAACTATCTGTTCCAGAAGGCGCGTCTGCACATTGTCGGCTCGTGTGCCTCCAAGCGGGATCTGTACTTTGAGCATCCCAGCGCACTGGATACGCATGGCGAGGTGCTGCTCGAGGAGACACCCGGCCACACGCTGGACTGTGTCTCTGTGATTGTGCACAATACGCAGTTAGGCGGCACTGTTGGCATTTGTGGTGATCTGTTTGAGCGGCGTGAGGATATTGACGATGCGAAGATTTGGAAAATGGCAGGCAGCGAGGATGAGAAGAGACAGGCGGATGAGAGGCAGAGGATGTCACAGCTATGCGGACACATTGTGCCCGGACATGGTCCGATTTTTGCGTTGGATGCCGAATTGCGGAGTAAAATTGAAAACTATGTGAAACTGGGGGATTAACAAGGTTGACAGCATTGATTGATTTAGTGTGTGCGTGTGTTTTAAGCAAGCTATGATATAGCCATTAATATTGATAGGCGCTTTGTATTCAATTGTATTCAATTCAAATTTCGTCTTGCAATCCGTTTCGTAAGAAGTTTTTTTTTTTTTGGTCTCAAATTTTACTGTTTAAGCGATGAAGCAATGTTTCAGGAATCAATAAAGATATTATTGCCAATTTAAATGTGATACTATTAGAAAAAAAGGTTTGGCTACTGCTTCAAAATTTCTCGTTTATTGCAACAACAACAACCACAATAATAGTAACAAAAGCAAAAACAACAACAACAACGAAAACAGAAGTTGTAATCAACAGCAGACGCGCAAAAGCTCAAGGATACGAAACGATCGAAATAAAAGAGAAACAAAGTCGAAGCTTTTTTTGTTTTCCAAAATGAGTCAGGCTTCGTCGAGTGCATATAATACACAGCGTAACCGTTACTATAATCCCGTCACAAGGATACAATCGCTGATACAGAATCTGGACGCAGAGCTGATCACCCTGTGCCGACAATGTTCGCTGCCAAAGAATATTGGCAGCAACGGCAACAGTCCATTTAGCAGCCTCCTTTCGCAGCAGCAGCTCCAAACGGGCAACATCAATAATATCAGTACTACGCAGAGTCGCATTTCTTCGCAGCCACTGTCCACACTGACGCTGGCGCCGGATGCGCACAGGCGACAGTTGCGCAGTACTTATCGAACGCGTGTTATCGACGCCTATCGCAATCGAAAGATATTCACAGTGTTTGGCAACTATCACACGGTCAGGCGCGCCTTGGTGCGCCGCGGCTGGTTGGAGAAGCTGCCGGCGGGGCGGCATGCCAAGCTGCAGACCATGTCCGAGGAGGCGCTGCTGGAGCATGCGCGTCGCGGCAATGACTATGAAGCAGTTGTCCTATCCAAAATGATCAATAACTTTCCATCGTTTTTCATCTGGCAGAGCAAGGCGCAACGTGACCTTTTCAGCGAGGTCAAACCATATCGCAATCGTGTCCGGCGCAGCCACTTTTTGGACTTCTCCACCAAGGTGGGTCTCGTCGGCTGTGCGGAGCAGGAGCGCTGGTTTCGCGAGGACGGTGTCTGCGGCATGAGCTATCCGCGTTTCTATCGCTTGGGCCCCAACAGCATGGAGGACCGAGCGGCATTCATCGAGGATTACCATCAGACACAGGCGCGCTCGCTGCTCCGTTACGTTAAGGAGCACCGTCCGGCTGAGATGGCCGACCCGGAACATGGCGAGGTGTTGAGCTTTACGCTTGAGTTTGCCCTCAACAAGGTCAAAACGATGATCAGACAGAAGGAGCATTACTCTCTGGATGATGCACGCACCAAAATGCCAACGGAAATGATCGAGAATCAATCGTTTATGGGTCAGTCGTCCAAGGTGCTCCATAGCCATGCCAAATTCAAAGTCAGCGAGAAGGTGATGACGGAATATGCCCGCCTCTCCGCTCAATATCTGGATCAAATTGAGGCACTGCGTCTCGACTATCGCTGGGATGGATCACGCAATCTGTGGATACTCAAGCCGGGCTATCAGTCCCGAGGCATTGGCATCGTTATGCGCAGCTCTCTGGACGACATCCTGCAATGGACGTCCAACAACCAGAATCGGAAATACATTGTTCAAAAGTATATTGGTGAGTAGCACAAAGAAAGTGAGAGAGAGAGAGAGAGACAGAGGCAGAGAGAGTGAGAGAGCGATTCGAGAAATTTTTAAAAACAATCCTTTAGGAGAGTTTCCATGAAGAGAGAGCGAATACACATATTGGGAGAGTTTCCATTGCAGATTCATAAAATAAATTTTAAAACGAGAAAAAAAGACTACGAAATCTCATCTTTCTATATCTTTTTGGCTAGCGATGCAGCACAGGAATATAAATATATATTTGATGGGGTCGGAGAAGTCTTTCTCAACACAAGCGCCTAATTGTATGCTCTATTTTTATTATTTATTTCCAGAACGTCCATATCTTATTTACCGCACCAAATTTGATATTCGTCAATATATGCTGCTCACGATTAGCGATAGCCAGGTAACAATTTGGACATATCGTGATTGCTATTTGCGCTTCAGCTCGCAGGAGTTCACATTGGATGATCTGCGGGAGTCCATCCACTTGACGAACAATTCGGTGCAGAAGCGCTACAAGAATAAATTGAATCGAGATTCGCGCTTGCCCAAGCACAACATGTGGTCGCTGGAACAGTTCAAGGGCCATTTGCGTCAAGTGGGCGCTCCTGACAATACCTGGACTAAAATCTACAATGGCATCAAACAGAATCTGGTGGCTGTGGTGTTGGCCAGCCTGGACGAGACGGAACTGGTGCCGAATGCATTCGAGCTATATGGCTGTGATTTTATGCTGGATGAGCGTTACAATCCCATACTAATTGAAATCAATTCCACACCGGATTTATCAGCCTCGACGGAGGTGACGGCACGAATATGTCCGCTAGTGCTAAAGGATTGCATACGTGTCGTATTGGATGTGCCGAGGAATCCCTTGGCCACAACGGGCCTATTCGAGCGCGCTTTCCAAGTGAATCACAACGTGAACAAGGAATTGAATGGCACACGACCCCTCGAGCTAAATGGCACCCAAATGAAACTCTGCGAAACTCTGCCCAAAGCTCGGCCAAATCCGCGTTCGCGTCTACTGCGCAAAATATTCAACAATGTGAGGGCGACGACAAGTCGCAAGCTTGGCAAAGATAAAAGCAAAACGGTTACAACGCCCCAAACCACCAAGCTAATCGTCGGCAAAGTGGGCAGCCCGGTAAATAATCCCAAATAATTTTGATTGTATTTTATAAATACAAATTTTTGTTTTTATTATTATCCACAGAAGTTGTCCAGAGCGAGCTGGAATTTGGACGGCAAAGTGGGATTAAACTCAAAGACGAGAGAGAATTTAGCACTGCAATATACAGCACCCAAATAATGACTAACAGGTAAGCGATTATTATACATTGGATTATTAATTAACAATTTATTTACTACTCCATCCATCCTACCCAACAATTTAAACAACTGTTAACAATCGACTGATAACATACAATTCATTAATTTATTGAGCTGCTTTCAGATAAATATATCTCGATCGAAGACATCGCCCACAATCAGCAGGCCTTTAACTGGACTTTAACAAGAAAATAGTTAGTTTAACAAGAATAGTTATATATAGAGAGACTTCAGATATTCATGTTACGTCATACGCTTTACAATTGAATAAAAAAAGAAACTAACAAAAACACGAATTTAAATTGACTGGTTTTCATTTCTTTAAACATTGCATTTAAAATATTTTTCATGTCTTTGTTGAGCTCATCGTTCAAATTCGTTTTGATTTTTGAGTTTTTGCAAATTTCAATAAAATGAAATTGTAAAATATATCTAATAATAATTATGAATTGAACACGTAGAGTTTCCAAATGCAGTTTAATAGTTTACATTAATAATCGCAGCAAATATATTCGCGCAATTATTTTCATAAATATATAAATATTTTTATTCAAAATTAAACTAGAGGAGTAAGATGTCTAGGAAGGATTAGTATTATTTAATAAGCTAGCAAAACAAATAGAATACCAAAACGGAAGGCAATTGGAATGTTTTGAATTTAATATTATCAGGAGAAATTTCATATTTCATTATATTAATTGATTTAAAAACAGTTTCTAATTGAGCTCATAAAACTTAGGATTTGCAAGGTATTTGCACATATATTATTTGGAAATAATGTTTTTAAAATGGTGTTGTTCGTGCACCATTTGCAATGGCAGTTGTGGGTGGTGGTTAAATGGTTGAGTGGGTGGTTTCTGTGTGTGTTTTCTCTTTAACAAGTGGGCAGTGGCACAGTCAACGTGCAGTTTGTGGTCAGCTTATTGCGTGGACTGATTAGTGGCGTCTGGGTGAGCTGCAGCTCGCTGGTGGCCTGCTTCATGGCAGCGAGAATGGGCTCGCCACGGTGCAGCGCCTGTACCGAGATGCTAATGGGAAGCCGTGGACCATTCGACTTGCGGCCAAAGGTGCGTCCAATCGCATGCATGCTGGCCGAGCTCTCGATCTCGGATTTGGTGCGTGCAAAGCGACGCGAGCAAGTGTTCCGCCCACCAGCATCGAGCAGTGTGCCGTTCAGCGCTGCCCGGGCTCGGGAGCAGCTCATCGAGGCAACTGCTGGTGTCACGCTGCTGCTGCTGCTGCTGTTCGTCGTGGTGGTGTTCGTGGTGGTGGTTATATTGCGCAGACTGCGCCACTTGCGTTCACTGATAACTGGCGCTGTTGCCGGTGCCGTGGGCAGTGGGTCCTGCTTCTCGACTAGATTCTCAGCACCATTGTTGGCATAATTCTTGATGAGTATCTTGAATTTCTTCTCTGTCGTTTCCACTTGATTGACACCGAAACGCGGCCCACAACTTCGCTGTCGCTTCGGTGGCAGAGCAGCACTGGCTGCTGCCTCTCCCCCATTGCCCATTGTCGTGTTCCGCTTGTGAGTGGCAGTGAGGAGTTGGGTTATGGAGCGACCCGCCTGCTTCAGCAAATACGGGGGGCAGGGAGAAGTGGGCGCCGTGACAACTGTTGGCGATTTAAGTGTAGCTACTGTTGTTGTTGTTGTTGTTGCTGCGGCTGTTGCTGTTGGCTGCTGGTGTTGTGTGCTGCTGATGCTGCTGCGACTGCTGCTCAGTGGCTCCACCATGTACTTCTCCATGTACTCGGTGGCATTAAAGGTGGGCATGGCGCGATGTATGCGCGATATGGTCGTTGTGGGCACAATGGCCGACCTCTGACGATAGACGCTGCTGGTGGCCAGACTGCGCTCCTTGCGCTGCTGCTGATAGTAATAGTGGCCATGATGATTCGCCTTGTGCAGCAGCTGCTTGCCCTTGACGAACAGATTCAGGCCCATATAGGCGGGCGTCGGTGGCACCACCTGACGATAGGCCAGTTCAAAGTTACCCATATCCGATTTGGGGTCCAAGCGTCGATCAATTACCACTGCAAAAAGAGAGAATAGTTAATGTATCATATATCAAACCACGAGCAACTACTACACTCAGAAAAATTACTTAAAGTTTAGGAAATTCTTTGGCCACACTTTTGTGGCTAAATATTCAGATTAAATAATATTCTTGTATGATCTAATAATGGTCAAACATATTTTTTATATATAATATTAAAGCTTGTCTCTGTAGCCATTTCTTTGACATAAATAAAACTCTCTGATGAATTATTACTATCAGAAAATGATTGATGTACGAATTAATAGTGGATTGGGTTGCATATCATATATCTTTTATAGAAGCAGTCGATCGATCTCTTAAGTCTAGAGGTGTCTTGTGGTCAGCAAGGGTAATTGACAGCTTGGCTGAGATAGTTTTCTGGTTTTCTTATTTTTAATTGAAATTTGATAATGGTATCATTTTTGCAATTATTCGAATTGTTGAAATCGAAAATGGTTTAGTGTGCTGTTGACAGTCAACACTTACCCTTGACGACATCCTCCAGGCACTTGGGGCACATGCGAGCCGTTACGCTTGTCGTGGCGCCCAGATCGGGACTGGAGTTGATTTCAATGAGCCACGGATAGAAGTTCTCGCATATCATAAAGTCCGCACCGAAGAGCTCAAAGGTGTTTGGCCGGCGATCCATATTCTCCTGGGATGCCAACATGGTGCCCACAATAGCCTTACGCATGCCCGGATAAATGCGCTCCAGCCACATGTTCGATTTGCCAATTTGACGCAGATAGGCTTGGAAGGAGTAACAGTCCCACATGTTCTCGCTGGGCAGCCTCTTGTCCCGCTTCCCATTCGTATACTTCTTCTGTATCGCATGGTTCGTCAGATGCACTGACTCGTGATGGTTGCTCAAACTGTACTCCTGCGAGCTGAAGCGCAGATAGCTCTCCCGATAGAACCACACCACCAGCGGTTGTGTGTTCGTTATCAGGAACCATTGGCGGATATCGAACTTCGTTTGGAAGACAATTAGGGGTCGTTCTGAAAGGCAAGTTTTCAAATCATTGGTAGATTAATAAGTTCTTAACCAATTCAGTTAGAGATATATTTCTCTCTACAATTTCCAGACTATATAATTTAATTTATAATTAAATACAATACACGAGAGTTATTTGGGTATTTCCCAATAATTATTGTAGGTAATATCAATAAAACAATCATGTTATGAAGCAGTATAAATTAAAAATATAAATAAATAAATAATATTTACTGTATAAGTGAATAAATGCTCGCTTTTATTTTCTCTTTCTCTTTTATTTTGTCTTTAGGTTTAGTCTTAGTTTTCATAGTCCTAAGTCCTCAAGTGCTTATAGTACTTTACTCCTTATTCTCTACTATTATTCTACCATTCACTAACTTCTCTGCAATTTGTATTCTCTTCTCTCCGCTCACCTTTATCCACTGTCTCCACTTTTAGTGCTACACGCAATGTTCTCCATTTTCTACTCTTCCCTTCAAATTGCCTAACTTTCCAATCCTTACTGCCGTAAACCTGTTGCATCAAAATATTTTGTTATTGACAAGCCAAACCTATAAAATAAATTCTGAATCCAACTCCAAAAAGATGCCATCAAAAATAACAACCAGTAGCTGCACTTTTATAATTTGCACACACATTTCAAAGCACATATAAGTAGCATACATAAATATATATATATGTATATATATACATATGTTAATATACATTTACATATGTATGTATTTGTGAGACGACGGGTGATGTGCGTGCCTGCAGTTGTGGGTGGCAAACTTGGTAGGGCTACGCCCAATTGCCAAGCCTCGATTTATGACCTACTTTTTGTGTGTTTGTCTATAATGCTTTTATTCCAGACCTGAAACATATATAGAACTATGTTAAGCACACGATTTTCTTTTTACTTTTTTTGATGATGAGATTGAGAATAGAAAATGATTTTGGTTTGCATAAGTAACCGGGCTATCTTTATGTTTAAAAATGATATGAATAAAGTTGACACATTCATACCATATGACAAATACCCATCCAATCCCTTTTGCGAACACTCACCAATATACTTTTGCACCACATAGCGACTCTTTGATGCTATTGATGGATTCACGACGCCCAAGATTTTTTTGAGATTATCCATGAGGAGGATGCCACGACCCCGACACTTATTCGCTGGCTTGACAATCCACAAGTTCTGATAGCCATCCAGGCTGTACTGGGGCCAATGGGTTTTCATCTTCTCCACCAGCGTAATGCAGCTCTTGACCATGTGGTCCAGCGTACGCTGGCCATCATGCTGGATGCGTGCATCCTCGTTGACCAGCTGCTGATGCTGATAGAGGAAGGCATCCCAGTCGTGCTCCCAAATTCTGGGCGGATCCTCGTAGTCGATGTCATTGTGCTGGCAGCTATCGATGTAGTCAACCAGTCGCTTGTAGGCAAAGTCTATCGAGGAATAGGGTATCTTGCCGCTGGGCGAGAAGACGGCATCGCAGCCCTGTTTATGATACTTGCACAGCATGGCACGCAAATAGGCCACACAGGCCGTGAGCTTAAAGTTATCCACAAATTCACCGAGCTCCTCGGGACTCCAGACGTTGTAGCAGCGCGGGAAATACATCTCGGCCATACCCTCCTCGAAGAACCAATGGAAATCACGCAGCTGGCTGCACAGACCCTCCTTGGAGGTAAACGGTGCTCTATGGAATTTATTGATGGTCATGCCGGGATTCTTGGCCTGATCGATATAATCACATTTCTCCTTGCGATTCGTCCACAAGAAGTCCACGGGCATGTGCTCCAGAAATCTAGACATGATATTTCTTTCACACTTCAACACATATTGCCGACGCGTTTCGCCCGCTTTGCGCTTGGGCAGACGCTGTGTCAGATCCTCGTAGGTCATTTGGCCCATGGGCAGCACCTTGCGATGCATGTCCAGTTTCTCCACCCAGCCGCGGGCGAGGAGCGCATTGCGTACCGAGTGGAAACAGCCGCGAATGGTGAAGATCTTATTCTGTTTGGCCGCTTCCTGTGCCTTGCGCCTCAGCTCATTCATGCGGTCCGTGGTAATCCAGGTGCGACGTGCCACATAATTGTTTGGAGCACCCTGTGGCACTCGGACGGGACAGGTGTTTTCCTTGTTGTTGTTGCTGTTATTGTTGTCAGCTGGCTTTGTTATCGGTGCTGGTGTTAATTGTATGCTGGGCACTGTGCTATGCACAGCTATGCTTGGGGGCGTGGCTGGTGTTGGTGGCGGTGGCAGCGGCAGTGGCACCACTGCTATCACTGGCGTCCGTGTGTTGCACAACGTGGCACTCGAGCATTTGTGGTGGTGCTGCTGCTGCTGCTGCTTCTGCTTCTGTTGTTCCTTGCTGACACCTTGTGGCTCGCTGTTTGGACGCGTTGGTTTCTGGAGCAGCTCGTGCATATTTTTTACCAGACCAAAAATCAAACACGATTTCGCCACTCCGAAGCTCAGTGACTGACTAACTAACTAACTGCCTGACTGGGCCACTAGGTTGTAAGTTGTCTTTCTCTGTGTATGTATGGGTGTGTGTGTGTGTGTGTGTGTGTACTGTTAATTTTGACTACGGGCGGGCCCATATGGGGGCTGCTTGGCAACCATTGAGCCAGTTAAGTTCATAACTTCAGTTTCGGCTCAAACGACTCTATTAATAGCTACAAGCTTGCGCCTCTCCTATGCAACGGCAGCTCGGAGTCGCAACATAGCCATTCGAGGCACGTGCAAACTTACATTGGGTTAGGTCGACTTCAGTTAAGGTTTGCATCGGTTTTCCGGAGAGCCAAAGCAACTCCTTATTGACCTTGGCATAGCTTATGTGGAAAATGTTTTTATAATTTGTTAAATTTATCACATTCAGTTTTTAATAAATAGAATATATATTTACCAAGTTAAGGAATATTACAGAATATAAAGTAATTTCAAAGTTGCATAGATCATTCGAAAGAGGACACTTTTCAGATTTAATGCAAGAAATCTGTCTTCAAAAATGATTTAGGGTAGCTCATAAAAGCTAATGGAAAAAAATATGGATAGTAAAAAAACGAATTAAGGAATATTTAATTGAAAATGATTTTTTTTTTTAATTTTTCATATTAAATTCATATTAAATTTAAAGTTAATTTATTCTACTCCAACAAGCTTTCTCTACATTTATTTATTTGATTATTTAATCTAGACTAAATGCACTCAATACATTTTAGGAGTTAAAATTTTATAAATACATTTTCAAATTAATAAATATAATTTTTTAAATTAAAAATAATAAGTTCAAAATAAAAGGACTAGGCAAGTTACACTTAAATTTTTTTTGATTTATGTAAAATATAATTTAAAAGGCCACTAATAAAAGAAAACCATCAATTAAAGTCAGAAGAAAGCAGAGTATATCTAGTTGGGCTACAAAAATGATCTCAGCAAATCATAATAAACGTTACGAAAATTTATGACACGATAAGAACAAAATACAAATTAACAAATTTAAGATAAGTAGTAGGTAAGAAGATAGTGTATAATAAGCTACGTTTTTGAGCATATTTACTTGAAATTTTGGAGATAGCCATAAATATTATCGGAATTACATAAAATTATTTTAAAGAAATTATAATAATATATATAATAATAAATAATTATAGAGGATAAAAGCGATGGGCTTAGGTGATATAGGAGTTTTATTGTTAATGTGATATAAATTATTGCGGTTACTTACACTGCAAATCCATATCATTTGTTTGAATAAAAACACAATTTTAATTCAATTAATACAAAATACTTCAAGCGGCAACGTGGGTCTGAAGGCATTTAGAAAATAGCTGTCGCATTTTTATTTTTCTATGAATCCTAAGGTTTTAAGTTGAGTTGAGTTGAGTGGGATATGAAAAGAATCAAATTTAGTTAGAATTAATCCTAAAGTTTTAAGTTGATTAGGAGACAAAGTGTAGAGAACCAAATTCTTAGAAACAGAAATTTTGACAAGCAAAGAAAACACACAGAGTATTTTTGGGTTTTATATTATTTTAAGCCAGGGAGAGCACATTTAAAGTGTTTTTGCTGTGCCCACATTGAAAATGTGAATCTCCGTCGTGTCCTGACATTTTATGCGCAATACTTGTGTTCAGCTTTTGTTGTTGCTGTTGTTGTCTCTATACGTTGCTGGTTGTTTGGTGTTGGTTTTGGTGCTGGTGTTGGTACTGGTGTTGTCGTCACAGTCGTCTCTGCTTTGGCGTTGGTGACGACGTCAACGCCGTTGCTGCCGTCAGACTTGGCTCATATGAATACTCGCTGGAGCGTGAGAGCCACGTACCGGAAACGGCAACGTCTATGCGGGCACCGGAGTGGGGTATAGTGGTTTAAAGGGAATTGTTAGTGGTAGTAGGTTCTTTTCAGAGCAGGGTCTAGTTGTCTACTTGTGCAATTTGTACAATGGCGCTTGGCAGCCTTTTCAATTATTTGTAAAATAATCAAGTTAACTGTTACCGCAAAGGAGTCGATGGGGTAAATCAGGCCGGGGGCGGAGCAGTAGCTGTATGTCAGGCGATTACAGGTGAGTACCGGATACCTTCCCTTGGCTTTGTCTTTTAATGCTAACCGTTATTTGGTTCAAGGACGTCTCTGCCGCAAACTTAATTCTGCGGCGGTTTCTACACGAGTTGCGACTTTTGCTATGACAGGTGGGTTGGCGGTTGTGTGGGTGGTGGCATCAAATCCACACGGCAACACCTACATACGTCAGGGCAAAGCTCAACCTTGCGTGCTGTTTTGCGAAGTTTGTGCAAATCTTTGTGCTTCAGTCTATTTTGTTTATATTGTCTTAAAAATTGCTTCGTATTTTGCTTTTCGTAACAGTTGAGGAAGCAGAAGAAACAGAAGAAGAAGAAGAAGATACTTGTTTCTTGTTGTTGTAAGTGGGACAGTAATTAATTTCGCTCCAATCGCTGAGGTAATAAAATCAGCTTAAAAATAGTTCTTGCGCTTATTTTATCGCTCGGATAATGTGAATCATAGCTGGGACGGAATTTGTTTAAAAGTTGTGTATTGGGGTCAGGGGTGTTTGCAGTTAAGCAGCGAAAGCTATACATCTGAAAGTGGTATGGATTGCCCTAGGAAAACAGTTTTAAAAGACATAGCAGCTGACAACTTGTAATCGTTTACATTTAAATTTAGATTTATGGGACAAAACTTTAAATTACGCCAAAGTTTGCGACTTTTAATTGTTCGAATTCTTATTTATATTTTATCCATTCGCAAGGTATATTTTGAGAGTGGATTTTCTGTGGTAAAAATGTTAATTTTCAGTTTATACTTCTCTAATTATAAGTAGTTCAAAATGTAAGTAGTTCACTTAACACAACCTCGAATCAAATAAAAAACACACATTGTTTTAATGGATATAATCTTTGCTATTCCAAACTGAAACATTAATTACACAAAATTATCGAAATTTAATAATAATATATTATTTATATTTATTAGAGATAAGCTTAGCTATTCCAATTTCTACGGTTCTTTTTAGAAAACGACAACCTAATTTTACAAATTATTTCATCCCATCATGCGCAACAATCGTATTAGAAAGTAAGTACTTTTGTTTATTAACTTCGAATCCATATTCGTAAGTGTCTTAATTTAAATTAAATTTAATTTAATTAAGTTGAGAATTATCAAAGGTACTCCAATTTCATAATTTGTTTGATAACTGAGAAATGACAACTTGTATATAATTCAATTTATTATTATTAATTCTTAAGTGTGGAGTGGTGCAAATGCTCTTAAGCTTTATTCTAAATTGAGCCCCATCTGAACTGCTTAAATCCGCCCCTGTACGCAATGTTAAACTTACGCACAATGCATTGAACCCAAAGAACTTTGACTAATGCGCGCGTTAATGAAAGCTTTCAACTGAGCAGTAAAGCACTGCAGCTTTTCTCCAACATGGAACATTTTGGTGGAGAACATCGCGAGAATGAGAGAAAGAGAGAGAGAGAGAGAGAGAGAAAGCCCGTGATAATGTTCGGGTAAATCGAACGAAATCAACCGAACACCAAATATCCATTCATGCACGAGGCGTTTGCCGAGCGACTATGCAACAAATATAAAATCCGAAGCGCTTGGAAAATGTGAAAACATTCATAACGGAAAACTCCTGGCGTGTGGACGTGTTCGTCGTGCTCTGTCTTTGTCACGTCTTTCGCTGCTTGTGTTGTGTATTATTTCTGTGAGTGCGTCTCGCTCTTATCGCTGCTCACTTCGCTTCTTACCACACTTACTTATCTATCAAGCAACAAACCAAAAATATACAAAAAATCTACAAAAACCATCGACGAATTTCATTAATCCTATATTGCAATATATTTTGCCGCGTTCTGATTTTTACATTGTGAGCAACCTTGAGATTTCGCGCTGCAAACAAACAACTTGCCAACTTCACAAGTGCAATACAAAACTTGAGTATTTCCAACCGCCATTTGCAATGTGACTTTAAAAGTGTGAACCCTCTAGCAAATTGTACTTTATTGTGTTGCCAAGCAAATATATATATTTCAAAAACCTCAAATCAATTGCCATATCATCGTTGAGACGTTGATCAAAGCGCCGTTCCCAATACAAAATACAAAAAAAAAAAATCAAAGTGGGTCTACAAGTCGAATTTGGAATACGGCAAAGGACGAGCAGCTGCTGCCAACCCAACGAAATGTGTACTATTGGTGAGTACTTCTACAAAATGATCTGGTTTACTAGTCCTTAAAGAGAAATACAGCAAATTAGATTAGTATATTAAGTAAAGATCAAACAAAGACTACAGCTTTAGTGTAAATTTTAATTCAAAGAAAAAAAAAAAGGGTACTTATTTGCCGATCCTAGAAAAAATTACTTACGTTTATCTCAAGTTTGAGTCTCAAACAATGTTTTAAAAATATTGGTTTTTAGCCGACGGCCTTATGAGCTAATTTAATAATAATATTATGTCGGTTATATCCAAAAACTAAATAACAATCATATGTGAGCCGAAATATTATTTCTAATTATTTTATTTAAAGTGGAATTAAAATATTTCATAGTTTTTATAATGGTTTTAAAAAATTAAAATGTAAAGCTAAAGTAACGAGTTGAACTATATAAAATCAAAAAATATAAATGAAATTAAAAATGTAAATTTAATAAAAAGGAAATAGAATACATGGGATATAATATCTGAATTAAACTGAGGGTCTTAAAATGTTATACAAGTAAAAATAAATACACATTGCTTTTTTAAATAATTGCTCAGAGTACCTCCACAATGAATTAAAAACTTCAAGTTGTTCGACGCATTCAATGTAATTGCAAATAAGAACAGAGGAATTTATTTAAGCTATATTATGCCATTAAAAGCAATTCTATGATTAACTTTAGCACTTGAACTTATTCTGATTTACCTTATTCTGAGTCGTCCAGCGTAATTGCAGCTTGGGATTACTTTGAAGTGTTGACGATTATAGCTGCTCCTGTTGCACAACTGGCACTTACATAACTTGACAGCCAATCATTTCAGGATTGGGCAAGTGGCAAATAAAAAGAGAACCCTAATAATATTTTCTATATAAAGAAATTCTATTGAAGTAGCTTAACAATATACCACCATCGGTAATCAACAAAAGCTTAGAGTTTTTTCTTTTCTCAAATAAAATGACATGAGGGGGGCGTTGGGGCATTAACGACATGGGCATATCCTGTGCTGAGTGTGTGTGTGTGTGTGAGTGCTTGCTTTTCAATTATCCTAACTGTGTGATCCAAAAATAAACCAAAGCAAGCACAGTACAAAAACAACAATAACCTTATTTTTATGTTGCTCAACACCCACACACGACAAGCAAGCCAAACGACGTCATTGTGATGAAGTCGGAATCCCGTCTGGACTCCCAGTCCGTCTATTCGTTCGGGCTGTCGGGCCAAATTCTGTTTATCCAAATGTTATGTTAGATAAATATAAGCGGTGAAAAACTGAAAAAAAAAATAAATGCCAGTGTTAAGTCACAATCGAATGACGCACGATGCCGCCACTGATTTTCCATACAACAGTTAAAAATATACCATATACAGTTAGCATATGCAGATACATGTATATATATATATATATGTGTGTATATATAAAACTTGTGTGTTTGTTCAACGTGCGATATCCTTGAATGACAGTGTCCTTTCGTGACACACCTCACCGCACCTCAGTTGGACATGTTTCCAGATACAAATGCGCTTTGATTGCCAGCCAGGCAGAAACACTGGCTAAAGTGCCACTTGCCACAATGGGTTCGTTGTGCGACTGTCGCACAAGTGCCAGTTGTGCTGTGGGGTTTGGGGCATTTTCATCTGAATGTTGCTACTTTGTATGCCATTTGTTGTGCGTGTTCGTGCGTGGGTGTATCTCTCTATCTCTCTCATTCTGTATGTGTGTTGCCTGTTTGCCTGCCTGTTGTGTGTTTTATCCCCCGACCCAATCCGCGCATCCAAGCAATTTCTCGTCGGCGTCAGCTAAAAGTTCAGAGTTGAATGTGACCATCGATACTGAGCGCAAATTGTGTTCAAGCAAACACTGTCCACTACGAATTTGCATAATACGGCATTAGTTGCAGTTGACAGACAGCAAAAGTCAAGAACTAATCTAAAATCAAGCATATAAGAAGCTCAGAGAAAAATCATCCATACCTTTTAGAAAGCCGCCATTTTTCATTACTACTTTCTGAATTTCAGAAAGATGTTTTTCTCAAAATTCTGGATTTATATTTCTACTTTTTAGAAATATATTCCTGAAAAATGGGAAAGATGCCTATCTTATTTTCAGAACGTTTTTCTCGTATCTTAACAAATTATTTCTAATCTGGAATATTTTCATTATTTTCAGAGCTATTTTCATTTTAATCAATCTTGAATCTAAGCGTAATTTTGTATGATTGTAGTGTAAGCTATTATTTTTAAAAACTCAATATTTGTTCAGGATTTTAAATCTTGATTTGAGGTTAAATGTACGAGTTTTTATTCGAGCCTGAGAAATTCGGGATTCTAGATTGGTAATTCTTAATGTTCTTCATCAAACACAGATGCAAAATGTTGTTTATTTTCTAGTGTTATATTTATAGATGAAGAAAACCAAGTCCATTATTAAACAAATAATAAATATTCCAGTTTATCATTCTCAGTTGAACATAATGTGGTACAGTGTAATTATGTGGGAGATTTTGTGTATCGCTCTTGACATTTAGTCAAAGTTTTTGCGGGCAAATTGTTGTCGCCTTGACCAACGCAAATTATGAACCACAGAAGTGTACACAAAATTAATTTGTATATTGACAGACTGATGCAAGATATGAGGTCAGGTCTCCGCTTACTCAAATACTCAGCACAATATATTGACAATTAAAGAGGCAATACTCAAGAGGTTTTCATATAACAATAACTGCGAGGGCAGACAATGGCAACGGTTTCTGGGCATTATCCTGCTAATGGCCAAGTTAATGACTACATTAAGCTGCATTGCCGTTAAATATAACTGTAATGTTGTATAGCATTATTTGTAGTAGACACTGGAAAATAGTTAAAATATATTTTGCGTTCATTATTAAGTATGCCCTTTGGAAACTTTGCAGCTTACTCTTACTCTTATATTTATATAATCATATATTTATTATTATTAATTATGGTCTTTAGCAACTTTGCAGCTTTACTTTAAATTTTATAAATGCTTGCACTTAGTTTTATTATAGTATAATATATCATAGCATTTTCGACACTCGGCCAACATACTTTAAGTTGTGAATCTTGCCGTGGGCACACTTCAGCTTCAGTATGGGACAGGTGGGCCTCGGCTGCAAGCACTTGCAGTAGACGAACTTTTTCATTAGGAATTCTTCAAATTCCTCATTGCTACTGTCGGCCTTGAGCAGCTCCCGGTAATCCTCAACACTCTCCAAACTGATGGGATCCAGCTGGTGCATATAGCACTTCATTTTGAGTATAGCCGAATATAAGTAGTTGAAAATATCGGCGACCATTTCCTTGTGGTGCTCGATGCTGTGATGATACTTATCGCCAAGTATTAAGGGTGTCTCCATATTTTTATCCAGCTGATTGTAAGCCTCATAAAATTTCTTGCACTCTATATTAAGATCCAAAACAGCATGTTTCATGTCATTGCTGAAAATAATATAAACAAAATATGAATATTGAGTTGATTTCTATAGAAAACTTTAGCTTACTTGGACCCACGCATCACCTCCAGTTTCTCCTCGTACTCATTGATGATCGCCTCCTCGGCAGATAGGGTATAAACCTCCGGATAGCGACAACCTGGCGTCGAGCTGATCAGTATCAGATATCGTTGTGTTAGCAACCACAGACGTTCGATGATTATTTTCTGTGACTCCAATTCGCATTGGTAGAACTCGTAATAATCGCGATAGCGTTTCTCCATTTCCATCAATAGAGCCAAGATTTCCGCTTCCATTTCGTAGTGTTCCTTGAGCTGTGGCGTCAAATGGGCTTCACTGTTCTTCGACATCCTGTCGTTATTGTAAAATTATTTTGTATGTGCTATGTGTGTGTGTGTGTGTGTGGAAATTCTGTAGGCTTCTAATTTTGTTCACAAGGCTGAGTTTTTGATATAACAGGAAAAGCAAAGAGCAGAACGTTAATTCCACGAAAACTGTACTTGAGCTATAATCTAGCAAGTGCAATCAAACCAACCATAAATTTCGTCGGAATCAATTAATATCAAGACCAATCAATTTGCATTCGACGTTGATGGTAATTTAATTTGTGGCCCGCAATAAATTGAGTTGAAAGAAGAAAGTGAATGACATGAATAACATATACGTAAGTCCACGCTAAACTGAATAACTAAGTGCTAAATTAGAAATAAGTGCGATTACCTCGAATATTTGATACACTCTAGTCAATTCTAAGGTATCCAATGCACAAAAGCTTTGAGGAATATATAGTTGGTGAATGAATATATTTCAATTTAATTTAGTGCAGGAGAACCTTAAATCAAAGCTGATCCAGTTCAAGAATATACATATGAGATTTATAATGACTCATTTGTATATCATTCCATAATTTGTATATCTGATCCATAATTTGTATATATGAATACCATAAAGGAATATATTTGCCCAGTATTTGCTCTGCATCATTTCAACCCATTTGTTCACGCTTATAAGTACAGTATTAACGAAATAAATAAAGTTGAGCACAATTCGAATAAATCGTTTTAAAATAGATTTGTCGAAAACAATTAATTGATCACTAATACGTCATGTTGTACAGCCGGTTAACATGTGATGGTAATTTTCACATGGCGCAAACAAATCAATATGTGAATTTGTTATGGTACCAAAAGTCAGCCGAGCAGGGAATATATCCTCTGATTGATTCCGATTGCAAAACCAAAAACGTAATTGAAATTAGCCAATTTCGAATTGCCGGCAATTGCCACTTGCCACTTGCCACCCAGCTCGCCCATATAAAATTCAAAATATTTTTAAAATGCGTTAAAATGTTGGGCAATAGACAGCGAGTAGGAGAGAGCTGGAGATCGAGAGAGAGAGAGAGAGAGAGAGAGAGGCGGAAATGGAGATAGAGAGAGGGGACGAGATGCGCATTTATGAAGTGCGAAGCCAATTGCCGCCTTTAAAATTTCAACAGTAGACACTGTATATAAATAGGTATAAACATATGGCAACGCTATGCTTTGGAAAATCTGAACTTGCCCCCGCTTCATTTTAAAATATTTCAAAATATTTCTCAATATTATTCTCAAATAAACAAATGAATTGTTATATGCCTGCTTTTATGCTTTTAGGAACGCTAAAAAGCGATCAATTAGTAGCGCAACAATACAGACGATGCTATACCCTCGATTAAATGACTCTATATAAATAATATAGTTAAATACGATGCTGAAAATGAAAGGATTAGTTCATTAGAGAATTGAAAGTAAACTAGTTGAATTCAATCTAGGAGGCAACGCTGTGGGCAATTAAAAATATATACATTTACAGAGTTATATGTTAAAAGGGAAAAGGAAAGAGCCTTTCCTTGAATCGTTTCAGGATATCACACCAAATATTGTGTTATAATATTTAAGGTAATATTTTTTTTTAAATATCTACAAAGGTGAAAGGCTTAATTCAATTTTAACTAAAAAAAAAACTCTTCTCTCTCAAATAGTCGCATTTACCCACTTTAATTCTGATAAAGAACCAAAGAAGTGAAATGTCGATTAATGCAAATAAAATGCTAAACCGACGCACATTTTGCACACATTTCAATATTCAATTTGTTTATGCATTTTAATTGGCATTGCGTGGCGAACACGAGGCGTATGTGCGATGTCTTCTTTGCTGTAACAAAATTATATTATTGCTTTGCCTCTGCCAAGATGTTTTTTATCATCAGTCCCGGCTAATGGGCCAATCTGTCCGTCCAGCCATAGGCCTGTCCATTTGCTGTAAGTTGCCTTTTGATTGCGCGCCTTTCAGCGCTCATTTTATTCAATTAATTCACTGAGTTGTGGCAAATTGTATTCATAGTGCTGGTTGATGAGTGCGGTCGTTTAGTCATTGAGTGCAACGAACCGTTCAGTTGCCTTAATTGCTGTTTAAAGTGCTGTCTTTGTCAATAGTTGTTTTCTATAATGCTAAAAGCCTTTAATTACTGAGTCGATTAATAATAATAGTTTATTTTTATTCACATTCTTTTTTATGTTCATCAAATATGAGATTGCCGAAGAGATTTGCACTGAGAGCTTTGCTTATTGAAATGCGGAAAATATTTTAATCCCTTTTACTTTCTTGGCATTTCAAACATTTCTGCTCCTTTTCATAAAACATAATTGCTCTTGACATTGAAAATTAAATTGCTTCTATTATTTAGTATACTTGTTATTTGAGTGAATATTTGGAAGCGCAAAGCTCAATAAATTTAAATTCTCATTAAAAATATTTGTTACTACAATATTTCTTGTTTAATTCACATACATTTGTTGAATTAAATAATATAGAACTTTGAGTCCCAAGATCTTGGAAATATTTGTGGTTATTTGGCTAATTACAAATTAGACTGCATTTTTTTATTTTTTTTTCTTTGCTTTAAAATCCATTCAGTCAACTATATTTAATAAAAGAGTTGATTAAATATTTCTGCCTGTTATTATAATAATTATGTTTTTCAATTCGTTGTACTCCTTGAGTTCTTTCTACTTGTAGTTCTTTGAACCAACATATGAATATAATTTTAAATCATGAAATCTGTAAAACTTTCTGGTTGCTTTTTAAGACAACCATAAACTGACGAGCTCCCCCATAAGTGCATTATCCACATGCTATATGAGTTTTACTGCTCTTTGGCATTTTTCGCAAATGTCAAACACCATCTTTGGCTCAGCCGTAAAAACATGATTTATGCTAATTTGATATTTGGTGCGCAACGCTAAAATAATGAATATGAGCGAACAAGCCGCACAAAGTATATTTATTTTATTTGACTTTCATTTTAATGCGCTGCCATTAAAAATTCTGTTTCCAGTGCAATCACCAATGCTGGATGAGTGCACAAACATTGTGTATACGCCGCGTAAGGCAAAACAGAACGCACAATTTAATAATATTGCAATCGAGCAGCGAGTACGTTAAGCAAATACAAATTGTGTTTATATTTACATATTGTGTGCATTTTAAAGTGAAAATAATTTTGACGAATGTTAGCAGTAGTTTTTCTTCACATTTTCTTCGTTGTGTTCGATTCTTCTTATTTTATTTTGATTTTTGATTTTTTGATTTTTTTTTTGTTTCGCTTTCTACGCGTTGAGTCGTGGCACAAGGTCGCCGTCGCCTGTCGGCGCGAGATATATTATGGCTAACCAAAAGATAAAATATATAAGCATGGGAACAGAATCACCACCAGCAATAATAATAACAACAACAACAACAAGTAGAATAAGAAGAAGAATCACACACTATGTAGTTTTTTTTTTTGTGTCATTTTGGCCAACTGTTTGTCTGGCAGCCGGTCGAGTGTCTGTCTTCTGTCGTTTGTCTTATGTGACGTGCTTTTTGCCATTGACACGCAATAAAAATATGTACTTAAAAATTGTAAAAATTAAGCATTTATATTGTGCACATCATTTCTGTATTAATTTACACTTTTTTTTTTTTTGGTTGGCTTAAATTTTGTTTATGATTTTGGTCTCTTTATGAGCCCATTTTATTATTAATTGTTTTGTGTGGTTACAAGGCAATTGCTGACGGCCTGACAAATCAGGGACAAAAGAAAAACTGTCACATCGCGTCTTTAATTCATCTATTATATTTTACTGACCATTTAATGTGTGCTCTAACAGATATAAATGAGATTCATTAGATGGTTTATGGTAACGACTGTTTACTGTATCTTAAGTATTAATATTTATTAGTAAATTTATTCTAATGCATGCATTTATTTCTTTAAATATTTTACGAGTTTTAGGCCACACAAACTTAAAATTCTAACTCTCAATTTTATGTTAGAATTAATATTCTGATGTGAACGACCAATTTTTATGTGTCCTTATATTGTTATTTTGAATAAATCTGTTTTTATCGCAGTAAAACATGACACTTGAACTTCAGCTCGAAAATTCAGTTGAGGTCATGTTTGTTTTATACAAATTTAAAAATTTAAAAAAAACTGGCAAACATATAAATATTAAAGATCCAATTTTGATTATGTCTCAACAAAGATTTTGTTTTTATTTGTTATAACATTTTTTAAATGCGTAGTCACTTCATTTGTATGAAATACTTAATATTCTTTTCATCTGATTGCAAGTTATAAAAGATCATTGGTCATATATGTTTTTTGATCGCATATGTATTGTACATATGTCTACGATATTTTCAAATTTAAATGTTAAAAACTTGATTTGATTTATCTGACACGATCAAAAAGCTATCAAACAAACCATAATTTTCAAGTTGAGCATACAAAATATATATTGTTAATAGATGTTAAAAATCAAATTTTGATTATTTCACAATAAAGATAACTTTTTTATTATTCTCTTAACATGTATTAAATGTGCAATTTCTTTATTTTTAGCCAAAAAAAGAATAAAATAGTTTTGATCAAAGTGTATGTTATAATAAAACTTGGGTTAAATATGTTTTTTGATTATATATGACATGGGAACTTAAGCCTTATAATCCGATTGAAGTCATATTTTTTATTTAATATTCATTCATTATCTTCAAAGATGAAAAGGCTAGCATATAAATTATAATTCCTAATTAGAGCTCCCAAATATTTATTGCCCATAAATATTAATGAACAAATTAGAATTATTTGGCAAAACATTTTTTACTGTTTTGATAGATTTTTATCAAGATCAGATTTCAGTATCATACAGTATCAATTGCTATGTGGCAGCTGTTGTCACTTCTTCCACCTGCTAACTGAGATTGGCCACATCCCTTCCCAGAATTTCAGTGAATTCAACGTCTCTTTATGTTATTTTCGAACTCACATGAAAAGTAAAATTACGTGGGTGTTTCGCGTCGTTGTTGTTGACGATGTTCTTCTGTTTGGCCGTCTCCTGTACTCCTGTC